ACTCCACACCGCTTTGTCACATGCAATTGGCCCAAGTTTAAGATAATAGAAAAGTACCTTTGTGAAAGGCCATGTCGATTCAGAACCATCAGTGATATGTACTCAGCGTCCCTTAAAGCTGATTTAATTAAAATTTCTCTAAATGCTTGCAACCTTTCATCATTTTAAAATAATTCAACTTTTTGAAGTGGTTTGAGAAGGGATTGTGTGTTGATGCGGTTACTGTTCAATTTTCAACAAAACGTATCACGATATCCTCATTCCACGAGGGAACGCTGTGAAGGCGCTGGTATTCCTGTGACACTCCCGACCAGGACAGTATATACACTATGTAATTGTTGTACATAGGATACATGACTGGCATATAATACTACGCCATATTGCAGTCATTGTCATGTAGATTTTGTCAGTCGGAACATCCGGGGCCTATTCTCGGTATTTAGAGGGCTCTGTCCGACGCGGCTTATGAACGACACCCGCCGCACTGCACAGGTATATTTTACTTCTACTAATTACTTAACGGACATTTAAATATAACGAGACTTACCTTAAAATGTATTCTGTTTTAACTCTCAGTCGACTTTCATTCAATGAGATTTAGTTATAACTGTGTGTAATAGTACTTCTGTGTTTCCGCACGCGTGTGTGTGTGTGTGTGTGTTTGTGTGTGTTGGTTTGTGTGTGTGTGTGCGTGCGAGCGTGTGTGTGTGTTTGTCTATGTGTTTGGCTGTAATAGTGTGTTTGTGTGTGTAATAGTGTGTCTGTATGTCTTTCTGTGTGTCTGTGTGTTTGAGTGTAATAGTGTATCTGTATGCCTCTCTGTGTCTATGTGTTTGATTGTATTAGTGTGTCTGTATGCCTCTCTATGTGTCTATGTGTTTGTGTGTAATCATGTGCCTGTATGCCTGTCTATTCACGTACTTGACAGTTCTATTACGATTAAGTTTGGAAATGAAATAATGCTGCATGATTAAGTGAATATCGTTATGTTACTGATAGAATTAATTGATAAGTAGGCAGGTTGGCTTTGGCTCTGTCCGACGCGGCTTATGAACGACACCCGCCGCACTGCACAGGTATATTTTACTTCTACTAATTACTTAACGGACATTTAAATATAACGAGACTTACCTTAAAATGTATTCTGTTTTAACTCTCCGTCGACTTTCATTCAATGTGATTTAGTTATAACTGTGTGTAATAGTACTTCTGTGTTTCCGCACGCGTGTGTGTGTGTGTATGTGTGTGTTGGTTTGTGTGTGTGCGTGCGTGCGAGCGTGTGTGTGTGTGTGTTTGTCTATGTGTTTGGCTGTAATAGTGTGTTTGTGTGTGTAATAGTGTGTCTGTATGTCTTTCTGTGTGTCTATGTGTTTGAGTGTAATAGGGTGTCTGTATGTATCTCTGTGTGTCTGTGTGTTTGTGTGTAATAGTGTGTCTGTATGTATCTCTGTGTGTCTGTGTGTTTGTGTGTAATAGTGTGTTTGCATGTCTCTCTGTGTCTATGTGTTTGATTGTAATAGTGTGTTGTATGCCTCTCTATGTGTCTATGTGTTTGTGTGTAATCATGTGCCTGTATGCCTGTCTATTCACGTACTTGACAATTTTATTACGAGTAAGTTTGAACATGAAATAATGCTGCATGATTAAGTGAATATCGTTATGTTACTGACAGAATTAATTGATAAGTAGGCATGTTGGCTTTAACTCGATTTGAAAATCATTTCAATTTCAATTTATTTCACTGTTAAAAAATGCACATGGCTTCCTGGTATACAATTGATAACATTTCCAAACTCAATAAAAAAATAATGAAGTAATTGGTTTTCGTTACAAAAAATTACTGTCACAGATTCTTACGTAGGACGTTATAAAATATAGAATGGTTCCTGTGGTGTGATTACAATGACGCAAGCTATTACGCAATTGAAATAAACTTCCGAATGTGACGCCGATGTTAATTTATGAGCTCTATATATAAAACACGTGCACCAAGTACAATTGATCAGAAGCAGAGGCGTTAAACAGGAAAGAGAGATACCATAAAACATTTCTATCACATAACATGATTAGAACAATTCCCGTAACGGAGGCCCGCACAGATCAGAGGATGGATGGTGAACGACGTCAGTAATGACGCAAATTGTTCTTCCTTTTTAATGACGGATTGACTGTGTATGTTTTGGTTCATTGAGGTATGAATCGAAAAACCGATGTGAAAACTGTATGAATATGCGTACGAAAACATGTCAGCAGAAAGGAAATTTCCTCGACGCTTATTGGTATTCCCCGACAGTCAGTAGTCGAAAGTAGTCCGCTCAGGTGGGCGTGGCTTTTTTTCTACATTCATTGGGAATGCAGTAACACGTGGCCGATTCAGTTAATCAGCATACAGAAATACCAAGAACAGAACAAACATTTAAATATTCATCAATATGCATTATTCTCGTGCTTGCTCTTGGGCCTGTTCGCCATTGTTTATAAGAGACAGGTTGACTTGGTTGTGTTCTCTTGGTAGCAGGACAATTATTGTACCCCAAGGGTAATCATACTCCAACTAAACACTCTTAGTGGATCAGCCGTCAAAGGCGCCGCAATTCGTTGTGCGGAGTTGCGTCCCTTTGGCGTGTCAGAACCTGATGATCGTAGGTTCCCGGTTCGCCCTTACTATGTTGTTTTAATATTGAGTTTCACTAAAGTGGTAGCGCCTAAGACCTGAATCACTTCGGGATTTACTCCCACATCAAGCTGATGTAAGCAAATTATACTGTTCAAAGCGGGTTTAACCAACCTCACTCACTGCTGACGTTAAATTGTTTCAGAATGTTGACTGGTAATGTTATCATACTGGGTTAGCGTATATTAATATATTATCATAGAACCGGTCCAACAGCACCATGTCAGCACCATGTCTTAGACCGTCATCAATTCAGTCTCATACACTATGCTGACACGCTGTGTTATAACTGAAATCCTTTTCAAAGCGGCGTTAAAACAAACCCACTCACTCATTCTAGCGGGAACGCAACAATGAAAGCCACCACTGTAGGCCCAGGGCTGTTGGGTGGAGCGTGGGAGCTCCGGGCTGTCATTACGTCAGTGAGGCCACACCTTACCTTTACTTCTGTAAACAGATTAACCTCTGATAGGGCCGGTGCTGCATTGTTGAAGAAAATGTTAAATACAGTAAATGTTCACATATTAAGAATACATAAAACAGAGTCAGTGAATTACATGTTATACCCGTCGTTAAATCGGTGAAGTTGTTCGGTTTTTTATTTCCCACGAAAAAAAATTCTTTTCATTGTGGAGAATTTACTAAGGTGAAAAAGAACAGATTATGGCTCAACGTTTGGTTTTAAAGACTGACGGATGTGAGAAACTAGCAAGGTGTTCTAATAATGGCTGTTGGATGGAGCGAGTTAGCTCCGGGTTGTCATCACGTCAGTGAGGCCACACCTTACCTTTACTGCTGTAAACAGATTAACCTCTGACAGGGCCGGTGCTGCATTTATTTGTGTTTACTATATGGATAAAGACTGACCGGGAATATTCACCTGCTCCTTGAGTGGGTACATTCACCGGGTACATTCGTCGGGTACATACACCGGGTACATTCACCGGGTACATTCACCGGGTACATACACCGGGTACATACACCGGGTACATACACCGGGTACATTCACCGGGTACATACACCGGGTACATTCACCGGGTACATACACCGGGTACATTCACCGGGTACATTCACCGGGTACATACACCGGGTACATACACCGGGTACATTCACCGGGTACATACACCTGCTCCTTGAGCGGGTACATCGACCGGGTACAGTTGACCGGGTACACCGGGTAATTATACAGTAAATTGAAGTGTTCAGATATAGAAAACTTAAAATGTATTATGTGGCGAATGGAAATATTATTTTAATATATTAATTATATCACGGAGTTTGAAAGAAGAACTCGTGTTTACAATTTTATAACCAATGCGTTTGTAATGTTAATAAAAGACTTGCTACAGTCACATGGACGCATTGATCATTGTATGCTCAAATAGATTTCAGAAATTAGCAAATAAATGTCTATTTTGATATATACAGAAACCGAAAATGGCTTTGATCTCAAAGATTGTAGATATATTGTTATTGTACCTCGTGTTGCTGTCTAAAATCACGTGACCAATACCACACAACTCTGGTATTTGGGTCTGAAAATGAAAAAAAGAATAACAATCCTAATTATTTATTTAAAATCGTTAGTAATGTGTTTGCGCTCTCCGCGTGTGTGAGTACCTGTAGAATGTGGGCGGTATAGAGGTGGCCATATTGCATGGAACACTCAGCGTGAACTATAAACTACACTATAAACAGGGACAAGCGACTGTCAATATGCAGATACATTTATTCCAAGACGTGAATAATTCCTGTGGCTGACTTCTACGTGCGCCAATAAAACAGCGGTGTTTAGGGACACGTGATCGTGTTAAGTATTCATGAGCTAAGGTCAAGAGCCAAAATCTCGAGGGAATTAAGAATATGTAAATACAGTAAATGTTCACATATTAAGAATACATAAAACAGAGTCAGTGAATTACATGTTATACCCGTCGTTAAATCGGTGAAGTTGTTCGGTTTTTTATTTTCCATTGTGGAGAATTTACTAAGGTGAAAAAGAACAGATTAAGGCTCAACGTTTCGTTTCAAAGACTGACGGTTGTGAGAAAATAGCAAGGTGTTCTAATAATATTGTCCCTCAAGGGTATATGTGTAAATGTGCGAACGCTGACACACGTGACATCGTCAGCGTTCACCGTGGATACAAAAACATATTGGTGTATGTAAATGTTTACTTGAATAAACATGATTCGCGGAGAAAACACGGGTTCATATATTCACACGCGTTGAGCAATTGCTAACCGGACCCGGGTTCGGAGACCGGATTTCATACGTCATTGGATTTCTTGGATTCTAACTCCGGAAAACTTCGGCAATATCCGCCACGCGGGTCCGGGATGACCTGGAAGCGACGAACAGCTTGACGGGAGACAGCGCTCAGTTCACGGACTATTTGTTCGCGGCTTGAGACAACTTGACTGTGTGATGCGTCATTGTGTCTATAGGTGGTTAACGGGATAAGGGATTGTTTTGCTTTTGCTTACAGGTAAAATCCCAGGTACTTCGGAGATGAAGGACCACAGGTACATGCTACTAGACCCGATGCCTGTGTTGTGGATCTGTTTGAGTTTTCTTTTCTTTCAAGGTAAGCAGAAATGAGATATTATATCTGGTTTTATCCCTGCTGTCCCCATGACAGCCGGTCGTGTGTTTCAGCGGCAAGTGGGAATTAGTACCTGTCGCGTGAACTCTGGGTTTCTACTTCTGTATGCATGGGGAGGGACAGCGTTAGTAACACACTGGCATAAACATGACATAAACATGCCATAAACGCGACAATTCCTCCAAACTTTGAATCACTTTCTTAGAACAAGAAAACAAACATTCGCTCACGATGGATAAACATTGTCAATTTTTTAACGTTATTTTTATTTTGAGTGTTGTTTTATAATAAATAAGAGTGCACCATAGCACGATGTACGCTTCCTAATTAAAGAAATAGCTGTTAGAATTAATTGTTCAAATGTTTGGAACTATATTGTTGCTATTACATATTACTTATAAACTGGCCTCTTGAGCTTTTCGTACGACTTGACGTGCAGAAAAGACCACATCTACCTTATTTGACACATTTTGTCCCATCGGTCTATGCAGTATACATGTGTGTGTGTGTGTGTGTGTGTGTGTGTGTGTGTGTGTGTGTGTGTGTGTGTGTGTGTGTGTGTGTGTGTGTGTGTGTGTGTGTGTGTGTGTGTGTGTGTGTGTGTGATATTTGTTTTCGTATAATATGTATATGTTCCTCGTATCATATATGTCACCCACGTGATTGAACGATATTTAATATCAAAGGAAGCGACTTAAATAGGACACGGGGAGAATATATATATATATATATATATATATATATATTCTTCTCATGAGAAATGCATGTTTTCCCGTGTGATGTAGGTGTTTTCCGCATGTAAAATTCATGTATCCCAGTGTGATGTAGGTGTTATCCTCGTGAGAAATGCAGGTTTCCCGGTGTGATATAGAAGTATTCGTCATGGGAAATGCATGTTTCCCCGTGTGGTATTGATGTTATCCTCACATGAAATGCATGTTTCCCCGTGTCATATAGATGTTATCCTTGATGTGAAATGCATGTTTCCCGGTGTGATATAGATGTCATTCTCGTGTGAAATGTATGTTTCTCCGTGTGATGTGGAAGTTATCCTCGTGTGAAATGCATGTTTCCCCGTGTGATTTAAAAGTTATCCTCATGTTTCCCCGTGTGATACAGATGTTATCCTCGTGTGATATTGATGTTATCCTCGTGTGATATAGATGTTATCCTCATGTGAAATGCATGTTTCCCCGTGTGATATAGATGTCATTCTCGTGTGAAATGTATGTTTCCTCGTGTGATATAGATGTTATCCCCGTGTGATATAGTTGTTATCCTCATGTGAAATGCATGACTTCCCGTGTGACATAGATGTTTCCCCAGATGTGATATACGTGTTATTCCTTTTCTCCACAGGCACGAGCGGCGTGAACCTCGGCACTACCCAGAGGTTTGACGGGCTGTACAACAACTTGGGCAACCCCACAGACGGCGGAAGCAGTAAGTACAGGAACCTTTCTCACAAAGATTCCCCCTCCCAGTTATAGATTTAGAAGCAATAACAAAAGTAGAATTGTCATGACAACCTGATATTAATGGCCGTGTCGCTACCTCAAGGACCTCGTGACAGTCTCGCAGATACTAAAAAGGCACGTGACTAGACAGATCATGTTCATTTGGGTCAAACATGAACTGGATATCAAAGACATTGGTTCATAAACAAACTCATGAGATTCTATTTTCTATTCTCGCGTTATATCTGTGAAAAGAGAAGCCGAAATACAAAAAGTTAAATACTTCACAACTTAATTATTGTCAGGACAGCCAGCATACTCCGCGAACACATTTACCTGTGAGAAGATGAATTGTTTTTCCCGAGTATTGTCTGGTACAAAATATATGTTCTTTCAAACAAGCCATCAAACCTTCCCCCGCCCCTCCCCATGAACGCTCCCCCCACTCGAATTGTCTTCAGTTTCATCATTTCTTAGCAACGAATAACTTAAGTTACTCTACCATAACATCACACCCATATCATTTAATATCCCGTTAGGGGCGGTCGGGTAGCCTAGTGGTTAAAGCGTTCGCTCGTCACGCCGAACACCCGGGTTCGATTCCCGACATGGGTACAATGTGTGAAGCTCATTTCTGGTGTCCCCCGCCGTGATATTGCTAGAATATTGCTAAAAGCGGCGTAAAATCAAACTCACTCACTCACTAATATCCCGTTAATTTCTTAACATTTCGCTAGCTACATGTCAGACAGGAGTCAAACACGACGATTAGTATTTCCCTTAGATAAACAAGTATACGAGACGTATCTAAGTGGAACGAGCGTTGAAAGAGTCCCGAACACGGAAGTCAGTTGAGGGGAAGTCCCCTATTTCTCCTCGGCTGTTAGTGGGGGAAAAACATCCCTTGTGTTCCAAACCGTGATTAAGTACAGTTATATCGGGACATATGTATCCGGTATGGGGTCGGTGTACAGCTATGTGTCAGATAAGCTCCTTACAACAGTAAAAAACACCGCCGTAAAACACCCGCTCATGTTGTAATCAAACCAAATATCTGATTAGTAGTGATTACGCAGTTTGCCAACCGCGGGGTGGCACAGACGCCTTAAAAGCCTGGCAGAGTTATCGTTCTTGAAAAGATAATACCTGTCACTCCTAAAACCACAAACAGGTGTTGTCACCACCAACACTTCCGCGTCGTTGTTGCCGTTTATGGATAGGGTGCACCGAGGTTTTTTCATCTCTAATCCACGCCATGTGTTCCAAATGCACAAGTTACATTAACTGATAGCGCTTATTTGCTTCCATATTCAAGATCGGTTCCTCGTGGGCGAAATGGTAAACGGACCTCATTTGTCCGTAGGGAAATGCATTTAACTGAGAGCAAACACCAGTAACAAGAAACGTCTTACAAGATTACAGGGATTAGGATATCAACAAGATGACTATGTGAATGGAATAAATTCCCAAGTTGACATCGACAGCGGAATCTAAATTGAACTTTTTTGCCACATCCTATTCAATGTCTCACAGCAGTGTTTATCGAAATTGTTTTTAATTTATGGTTTAAGTTTTTTCAACAAATAAATATGTTTTTAAGTTTTACAGTTTATGTGACAAGATTATATTTGTTACGGATAGTTAAAGGAGACGAATATTTCCATAATGTTGATATCTGATGTAAGAAATAAACGACTCGTGGTCGTTGTTTATCGCACAAGAAAACACTACAGGGAAAGTTAACCCCTGGGGCTGCGCTCCTTTATCGTACGTTAAAAAACGACCACGAGTCGTTTATTTCTTACATCAGATATCAACATTATGCACAGCCTCTTTAAGGATGTTGATAAAATGTACAAGCTTTAAAAATATTTACCCGTATGTCAATAATGATGTCTCCCTCAATAGACTCCGACCTCAGCAATGTCGGACAATTCCATTTCATACACAGGTGGGTGTTTCCCGCATAGTCTCACAATCCTGACGTCGCTTACCTGTATCTTTTCTCCCAATGCCGATCGTCATAAACTCCCGGTTTTGGATGCGGTCGTTCGGCCATCGCGTTTATCTGCGTTGTCCTGCTACATCTATGGGGAACAACTCACTAGACACCTCTCTAAAAGTTAACGTACATCAATATACGACATCATCAAGTTGCGAGAGCATGTTCGAATCTCCAGAAATGACGTCATGATAGAACAATGTTTTATCGTGAAATAAACCACGCTTCGTTCTTCATTGTCCTTTGTGATTTATCGCCTTGCTTTCTTATATATTACTATATACAGGCGCGTGCTGTTTGGCAGAACCTTTGCTATGATGACCTGATATTTAATATTTCTAATAGTTTTTGTTGCATATTGTAACGTTTTCTGTTTTATATCCTTATTCTAAAACAACAATAAAAACGTGATTTATCACTATTTACGCTTGACTATGTAGTATTCTGTTGCTGTTGGTCTTTCCTTAAGAGTAAAATTATAATGAAACACGTCAGGTTCTCTTCCACTCTTCTGTTTATGGTAATTATGATGCGTGGAGTTAAAAGATGCACACACGCGTCTATAAATGCGTTATTTGGTTTATTGTGTAACGCCACCCCCAGCAACCCAGCTTCGTGATGTCAACTTTCAAACAAAATACAGGCAAACCAGTGATTGATAGTATGAGCAACGCCCCATGCCGTCGGGGTACGATGACACACATGTAGCTAAGTGACCGAGCCCAACACCCGATCCATTAGTCGCCCTTATGACCAGCATCTCCAAGACCTACATGCATTCTCCCTCGTTCAAGTGACTATGTATCAAATACGCATGATGTATATGGCGAAAACGACATAAGGATTTATAAAACGAGAAATGTATGTGGATTAACGCTACAGTTTCTTTGGGTCGTGTAAGTAATACCCACAAGAATCGCGTCACTTTGCAAAGCTTCTTTGTTTTGATTATCTGACCGCACACGAGTCATCAACGTTACTACTTAAAAAGATACACAAAAAACATGACACGCTCTGTATTTTATCACACACTGATGCCCCGGTTCTTCTAATCCACAGTGTCTACCGGCGATCTTCATCGCCTATGTCACGAACTTATATTTTTTCAAACCTGAATGACGTAATATACAACATTTTCTCCTGATTTAAATCCCAAATGTATAATTCCGAATAGCTAAGTCGACATTTTTTCTGAGTGAGTGAGTCAATGGATGCAGTAGAGGATGATAATGTAACGGGACCAACAGTGCCTGGAACCTGCCCGGGGAAGTCAAGATTTGTAGATAAACATCAGAGGTGCACAATCATTAGAGTCATTCGCGTTGACGTAACCGAATGTGAGAATAGAAGCTGATTTAGCATCATCTTATCACACGGACTGCGTAATCTGTTTATAAGCTCTGAACAGCTTGTCGTATTGAAAGACCACTATAGTGCAACGTGCCCAAGGTTATTGCCCTGGTTTATTGCCCATAAGCTTCATGAAAGTACCGAGATAGTCTATTTACCGTTTAGGAGACCCTTTAGCAGGGTAACGCCAACCCCTGACTTAATTATCTCGGGTTCGGTGGATGCATCACCATAAATTACAAGAGAAAGGTATCATCGGCTGTTTAACTGATGTCGGTGTCTGCGCCGAGGATGACTGTTGCGTCATTAAAGTATTTGCAAATATAAATCTACTCAAAGTAGTATCGGAGATGATGAGACGTAGCTATGTCTGCGGAAATATCAACTATGAAGCGTGATTGCCACAACGTGTGCATGCGTCGTTACTCAGATGTCTGACACATCTCACCTATAGCTTGATCGATTCATTGATTGGGTATCGCAAAACCTCTTTCTGTGTACAGTAGAGCTCTCGCTTGATCGTTTGATCATACTCCTAGGTATGTAAAGACATGAGAGGTTTGATCAAATTCCTTGTATGTAGAAATATGTGAGGTTTGATCACATTCCTTGTATGTAGAGGTATGAGAGGTTTGATCACATTCCTTGTATGTAGAAATACGAGAGGTTTGATCATATTACTTGTATGTAGAGATATGGGAGGTTTGATCACATTCTTAGGTATGTAGAAATTTGAGAGGTTTGATCACATTCCTTGTATGTAGAAATACGAGAGGTTTGATCATATTACTTGTATGTAGAGATATGGGAGGTTTGATCACATTCCTTGTATGTAGAAATATGAGAGGTTTGATCACATTCCTAGGTATGTAGAGATATGAGAGGTTTGATCACATTCCTTGTATGTAGAAATACGAGAGGTTTAATCATATTACTTGTATGTAAAGATATGGGAGGTTTGATCACATTTCTTGTATGTAGAAATATGAGAGGTTTGATCACATTCCTTGTATGTAGAGGTATGAGAGGTTTGATCAATTCCTTGTATGTAGATATTATGGGAGGTTTGATCACATTCCTTGTATGTAGAGGTATGAGAAGTTTGATCAATTTCTTCTATGTAGAAATATGAGAGGTTTGATCACATTCCTTGTATGTAGAGATACGGGAGGTTTGATCATATTACTTGTATGTAGAGATATTGGAGGTTTGATCATATTACTTCTATGTAGAGGTACGAGAGGTTTGACCACGTTCCTAGGTATGTAGAGGTATAAGGTTTGACAACATTATTTTAATGTAGAGATATGGGAGGTTTGATCATATTACTTCTATGTAGAGATATGAGAGGTTTGATCACATTCCTTGTATGTAGAGATTTGAAAGGTTTGACCACATTCCTAGGTATGTAGAGATATGGGAGGTTTGATCATATTACTTGTATGTAGAGATATGAGAGGTTTGATCACATTCCTAGGTACGTAGAGGTATGAGAGGTTTGATCACATTCCTTGTATGAAGAAATATGAGAGGTTTGACCTCATTCCTAGGTATGTAGAGATATGACGTTTGATCACATTCCTAGGTATGTCTAGTATGTATTTCAATGCACTTATCAGGTGGCACAGTGTTTTGAACAGTTTGTGGCCCTGAGAGAACGCAGTGTGAACAATCTGCCCGAGGGTCTTTCTCGGGTATAATGTGTGGAAAGTACCGAGATAGCCTACTAGTGTTAAAGAGACCCGACGGGAATGTCAGCTTAAGCCCCTCGCTTCATTATCGCAGGCTCGGTGAATGTAGGACTATAAAATGCGTTGTAAATTTATTCTAAACCACTTAACTAAACCGATAGCGCTATTTGCCGGGTTATAGATGGTAGGCCGTAGACAGTAGTGTGAAACAACAATAAACTCACTCACTCATTCTCTCACTATTTCCAGGTAACGCTCATTTCATTTACATTCACTCAGTATCGGTTTGAGAAACAAAATGGCGATGCTGTCAGGCTCGCTCCGTTGAGTCGGCACCCGAAGTTTACTGCGTGCACACGTCGATGTCTTCACGATCCATGTATCTGTGATGTAATAGGTTGGAGTGACAAAGATTAGTTCTTAGAATCAGGGACACTGCATACTCTAAACGCATGTGCTACTCATATAAATTTTCGTCAAGTCGGTGTTTCGCAAAATGTTTCACATATTGTCTTACATCAAAATTACACCGAGAACATTTCGAAATTGAACTCGGATCAGCAGACCAAGTGGGTCATTTAGTCAAAAAACATTTTCATGTTTATACATTTATCGAAAAACATGAAACTTACATACATACGTACATATTCTCACATGGAAATGATATGCTTTGGGACAGTCAGCTTTACATGCTAAAAACCCTACTGATAGTAACACATGGCATCCATCTTTGCTTCAGACCAGCCTCTGGCCAGGAACATCACAACCAGCTATGGTGATTTTACCTACATGCCGTCTGGCCAGGAGCGACCAAACCCTCGTTCCATCAGCAACGACCTGTTCAAGGGGGACTCCGCCATCGCTTCCTTCTACAACAGGACGGCGCTGTTTGCATACTTTGGTATGTGCATGATCTCAATCTGTACTGACAGCCCCCCATTGTGATGACGTTCTATACACATTCCAGTGTGTGTTGTAGTTGTGTAATCACATTCCAGTGTGTGTGGTAGTTGTGTGATCACATTCCAGTGTGTGTTGTAGTTGTGTGATCACATTCCAGTGTGTGTTGTAGTTGTGTGATCACATTCCAGTGTGTGTGGTAGTTGTGTGATAACATTCCAGTGTGTGTGTTAGTTGTGTGATCACATTCCAGTGTGTGTGTTAGTTGTGTGATCACATTCCAGTGTGTGTTGTAGTTGTGTGATCACATTCCAGTGTGTGTTGTAGTTGTGTGGTCACATTCCTATATGTGTGGAAGTTGTGTGATCACATTCCAGTGTGTGTGTTAGTTGTGTGATCACTTTTCTGTGTGTGTGTTAGTTGTGTGATCACATTCCTGTGTGTGTGGTAGTTGTGTGATCACATTCCAGTGTGTGTTGTAGTTGTGTGCTCACATTCCTATATGTGTGGTAGTTGTGTGATCACATTCCTATATGTGTGGTAGTTGTGTGTTCACATCCGTATGTGTGTGGTAGTTGTGTGATCACATTCCTGTGTGTGTGGTAGTTGTGTGATCACATTCCAGTGTGTGTTGTAGTTGTGTGCTCACATTCCTTTATGTGTGGTAGTTGTATGATCATATTCCTATATGTGTGGTAGTTGAGTGATCACGTTACTATATGTGTGGTAGTTGTATGATCACTTTCCTGTGTGTCAGGTATGTCGAGGTCATGGTGAATTATAAGATAAGACAATTTGATGTGTAGGTATACTGTATGGACAGATTTCAATTATCGAATAAACTGACAACGTTACGGCGTGAGTATCTATGCTTTTTTATATGTACATGTGCGTGGGGGTGGGGGTGGGCGGGTGGGGGGGGGGGGGGGGGGACACTTGGGGACATTTTAACGACAGGCATCCATAACTCTGCGTCGTGTACTTTCAACACTGCACGTGATCGCTGTCAATTTATGACAATCCTATATTGTCTGGAATCATGACAACTTAGAGTGAACATGGAAGCTGTCAATCAACGTGATTGACATGTTTTGTGATGAGACAGAATACAGGTGCCCTTGGTATATCTAATGATTATTAGGTGCGTTTGATAACATGTTGTCTCAATTTATAAATTAATAATTGTAAATCGAACGCCGACCCACAGAAACCCGTTATTGGTCAGTAAAAAAAACAAATATACCCCCTGTATGTAAGCAGACACATATAGGAGGTATATATTTTTTTATTGACCAATACCGAGTTGCCGTGCACTGACACTACAGTTTTGGGACAAGGAACTGTAAACCAAATAATTGAAAACAGACCTTGTTCCCCAAAACAAGTGTTTCGGTGTTTTTTAAGGATAGCTTTTATTGCCCGAAGTCAGTCGTGATACATTAACGTGTTGTGAGAGACGAATAGGTCGTCTCCTATTGGAAGATTCCGATAAATGGTACGACACATCGTATACGACACATCGTATACGACACATTGTATACGACACACTGTATACGACCCTGTATTTCCGGCTACCTTGTGTGGAACATATACTCACGCGGTTGAGTTTCAATCTCACTCACTCACTCTCCAGTTCTGTGAACACAGCAGTTAAAACAATTCTGTCCCTTCTTCCCAACAGGTCAGCTAGTACAGAGAGAGATCTCTGACACCGATGACGTCTCTTGTCCGGTCGAGATCCTTGAAATACCCGTTCCGCGCGGAGACCCCGACTTTGACCCCGAAAGCATAGGAGATAAGTCTATGCCTTATGAGAGGATTGCCTATGCTAGAAGTTCAGGCTATTCGCCCAACAACCCTCGGAAACAGGTACGATACATTGCTCCGGCCAGGGCTCTCAACTCATTACATAAAAAAATATTTAATTCACTTTCATTCTCACATATGTGCATTTCATTCCTTGAAATCTAATGAACCGCCATTGTTACATGCAAGTATCCCTTTCCACACTGTTGTATACTCCCCAGGTAGCTGAGAATGAAAAACTAATGTAGAATTATCCATTGGTCGGGGTTATAATAAATGTAGCGTCATGAGCATTTACTTGGTGAAAGGTATTTGGTGCGTTATAAAAGGACTTCTATTATTATTATTATTATTATTATTATTATTATTATCATCATCATCATCATCATCATCATCATCATCATCATCATCATCATTATTATTATTATTATTATTATTATTATTATTATTATCTCTGTAAAAGTATGGGAGTATGCGTCAATCTTAGCGCTAAGATCGTTGTATACAATAAGTCCCTAGTCATGCTTCTCACCCCCTGCAGATCAACAAGGCGTCCAGCTATATCGACGGCAGCTTCGTGTACGGCAGTTCCGTGGTCCGCACAGGCTACCTGCGAGAACACAACTCAGGAAAGCTGGCTTGCGAGGACAACTGGGGACGCTACCCCAAACTAAACAACATCCGACTGCCCTTCAAAACGTTCCCCGACTGGCAACAGAAGCTGGTTAACCCTGAGGAACTGTGGAGTAAGTGTTGATGACGGGGTCAGTACGGGGTTACAGTACTGTGCTGGGGTCAGTACGGGGTTACAGTACTGTGCTGGGGTCAGTTCGGGGTTACAGTACTGTGCTGGGGTCAGTACGGGGTTACAGTACTGTGCTGGGGTCAGTACGGGGTTACAGTACTGTGCTGGGGTCAGTACGGGGTTACAGTACTGTGCTGGGGTCAGTTCGTAGTTACAGTACTGTGCTGGGGTCAGTACGGGGTTACAGTACTGTGCTGGGGTCAGTTCGGGGTTACAGTACTGTGCTGGGGTCAGTTCGGGGTTACAGTACTGTGCTGGGGTCAGTTCGGGGTTACAGTACTGTGCTGGGGTCAGTTAGGGGTTACAGTACTGTGCTGGGGTCAGTACGGGGTTACAGTACTGTGCTGGGGTCAGTACGGGGTTACAGTACTGTGCTGGGGTCAGTACGGGGTTACAGTACTGTGCTGGGGTCAATACGGGGTTACAGTACTGTGTTGGGGTCAGTTCGGGGCTACAGTACTGTGCTGGGGTCAGTACGGGGTTACAGTACTGTGTTGGGGTCAGTACGGGGTTACAGTACTGTGTTGGGGTCAGTACGGGGTTACAGTACTGTATTGGGGTCAGTTCGGGGTTACAGTACTGTGCTGGGGTCAGTACGGGGTTACAGTACTATGCTTTGGTCAGTACGGGGTTACAGTACTGTGCTGGGGTCAGTACGGGGTTATAGTACTGTGCTGGGGTCAGTACGGGGTTACAGTACTGTGCTGGTGTCAGTACGGGGTTACAGTACTGTGCTGGGGTCAATACGGGGTTACAGTATTGTGTTGGGGTCAGTACGGGGTTACAGTACTGTGTTGGGGTCAGTTCGGGGTTACAGTGCTGTGCTGCGGTCAGTTCGGGGTTACAGTACTGTGTTGGGGTCAGTACGGGGTTACAGTACTGTGCTGGGGTCAGTTCGGGGTTACAGTACTGTGCTGGGGTCAGTACGGGGTTACAGTACTGTGCTGGGGTCAGTACGGGGTAACAGTACTGTGTTGGGGTCAGTTCGGGGTTACAGTACTGTGCTGGGGTCAGTACGGGGTTACAGTACTGTGCTGGGGTCAGTACGGGGTTACAGTACTGTGTTGGGGTCAGTTCGGGGTTACAATACTGTGCTGTGGTCAGTTCGGGGTTACAGTACTGTGCTGGGGTCAGTTCGGGGTTACAGTACTGTGTTGGGGTCAGTTCGGGGTTACAGTACTGTGCTGGGGTCAGTTCGGGGTTACAGTACCGGTTGGGGTCAGTTCGGGGTTACAGTACTGTGCTGGGGTCAGTTCGGGGTTACAGTACTGTGTTGGGGTCAGTTCGGGGTTACAGTACTGTGTTGGGGTCAGTACGGGGTTACAGTACTGTGCTGTGGTCAGTTCGGGGTTACAATACTGTGCTGGGGTCAGTTCGGGGTTACAGTACTGTGTTGGGGTCAGTTCGGGGTTACAGTACTGTGCTGGGGTCAGTTCGGGGTTACAGTACTGTGTTGGGGTCAGTTCGGGGTTACAGTACTGTGCTGGGGTCAGTTCGGGGTTACAGTACTGTGTTGGGGTCAGTTCGGGGTTACAGTACTGTGTTGGGGTCAGTACGGGTTACAGTACTGTGCTCGGGTCAGTACGGGGTTACAGTACTGTGTTGGGGTCAGTTCGGGGTTACAGTACTGTGTTGGGGTCAGTTAGGGGTTACAGTTGTATTGGGGTCAGTTCGGGGTTACAGTACTGTATTGGGGTCAGTTCGGGGTTACAGTACTGTGCTGTGGTCAGTTCGGGGTTACAGTACTGTGCTATGGTCAGTTCGGGGTTACAGTACTGTGTTGGGGTCAGTTCGGGGTTACAGTACTGTGTTGGGGTCAGTACGGGGTTACAGTACTGTATTGGGGTCAGTTCGGGGTTACAGTATTGTATTGGGGTCAGTTCGGGGTTACAGTATTGTATTGGGGTCAGTTCGGGGTTACAGTACTGTGCTGTGGTCAGTTCGGGGTTGCAGTACTGTGCTGTGGTCAGTTCGGGGTTACAGTACTGTGCTGGGGTCAGTTCGGGGTTACAGTACTGTGTTGGGGTCAGTTCGGGGTTACAGTACTGTGCTGGGGTCAGTTCGGGGTTACAGTACTGTGTTGGGGTCAGTTCGGGGTTACAGTACTGTGCTGGGGTCAGTACGGGGTTACAGTACTGTGTTGGGGTCAGTTCGGGGTTACAGTACTGTGTTGGGGTCGGTACGGGGTTACAGTACTGTATTGGGGTCAGTACGGGGTTACAGTACTGTGCTGGGGTCAGTACGGGGTTACAGTACTGTGCTGGGGTCAGTACGGGGTTACAGTACTGTGTTGGGGTCAGTTCGGGGTTACAGTACTGTGCTGGGGTCAGTACGGGGTTACAGTACTGTGTTGGGGTCAGTACGGGGTTACAGTACTGTGCTGGGGTCAGTACGGGGTTACAGTACTGTGCTGGGGTCAGTACGGGGTTACAGTACTGTGTTTGGGTCAGTACGGGGTTACAGTACTGTGCTGGGGTCAGTACGGGGTTACAGTACTGTATTGGGGTCAGTACGGGGTTACAGTACTGTGCTGGGGTCAGTTCGGGGCTACAGTACTGTGCTGGGGTCAGTTCGGGGTTACAGTACTGTGTTGGGGTCAGTTCGGGGTTACAGTACTGTGCTGGGGTCAGTTCGGGGTTACAGTACTGTGCTAGGGTCAGTTAGGGGTTACAGTACTGTGTTGGGGTCAGTTAGGGGTTACAGTACTGTGTTGGGGTCAGTTCGGGGTTACAGTACTGTGCTTTGGTCAGTTCGGGGTTACAGTACTGTGTTGGGGTCAGTACGGGGTTACAGTACTGTGCTGGGGTCAGTACGGGGTTACAGTACTGTATTGGGGTCAGTACGGGGTTACAGTACTGTATTGGGGTCAGTTCGGGGTTACAGTACTGTGCTGGGGTCAGTACGGGGTTACAGTACTGTGTTGGGGTCAGTTCGGGGTTACATTACTGTGTTGGGGTCGGTACGGGGTTACAGTACTGTATTGGGGTCAGTACGGGGTTACAGTACTGTGCTGGGGTCAGTACGGGGTTACAGTACTGTGCTGGGGTCAGTACGGGGTTACAGTACTGTGTTGGGGTCAGTTCGGGGTTACAGTACTGTGCTGGGGTCAGTACGGGGTTACAGTACTGTGTTGGGGTCAGTACGGGGTTACAGTACTGTGCTGGGGTCAGTACGGGGTTACAGTACTGTGCTGGGGTCAGTTCGGGGTTACAGTACTGTGTTTGGGTCAGTACGGGGTTACAGTACTGTGCTTGGGTCAGTACGGGGTTACAGTACTGTATTGGGGTCAGTACGGGGTTACAGTACTGTATTGGGGTCAGTTCGGGGTTACAGTACTGTGCTGGGGTCAGTTCGGGGTTACAGTACTGTGTTGGGGTCAGTTCGGGGTTACAGTACTGTGCAGGGGTCAGTTCGGGGTTACAGTACTGTGCTAGGGTCAGTTAGGGGTTACAGTACTGTGTTGGGGTCAGTTAGGGGTTACAGTACTGTGTTGGGGTCAGTTCGGGGTTACAGTACTGTGCTTGGGTCAGTTCGGGGTTACAGTACTGTGTTGGGGTCAGTTTGGGGTTACAGTACTGTGCTTGGGTCAGTTCACGGGTGACAGTACTGTTATGGATCAGGCACAAGGGATTATAGTACTGTGTGGAGATCAGGAACAGACATTAGAAATACTACGCACTATTCCCACACAGTACTTTATGAAATACAGTCTTTGATCACACTTTTTTAAATTAATGGGGTTTTTTTCGAGAGTAATATTCACTGGGGTCTGAATTGAAAATGATTCTGGAATGTAAGCCAGAATTCCTCATGCACAGTACAAAACACATGGTACCGCCACCTTAACTTGCATCGTTCTATTTCCTTTTATCCAGGACTAGGAGACACCCATGTGTACGAAAATCCCGGAATTCTCTCCCTTGGCGTGCTGTTTTTCCGTTACCATAACTACCGAGCTGACGATATAAGGAAATACAACCCCAGCATGTCCCCAGACGATATCTTCGAGCGTTCCCGGAGATGGGTGATTGCCTCCCTTCAGGTAATCCAGGATCCTGATAACCCCACCTGCTTGGAATGAGGGTGCTACATTGCTGAGTCTCGAATACCCTCTAAATAGACCCCAAAATCCCGCGTTCAAATAGTTGGCAGCCTCTGTAATTCACGTCTTACAGTTCATGCTGTTGACGTCAACTCGTTACCTGGCCATCCCGCGATGTCGCTCAGGCTGTTTACGAATGCAATAGTTGACAACGATGTTAACCTCGCAATGATAAACGTCGTCTGACACAGACAACGCCGGTACATAGTTGTTATAGACATTTCAGTAAGTGGTCCATGTATTTCCAGAAAGTCATCATGTACGATTGGCTGCCGATGTTGCTGAACACGTCCGTCCCAGAGTATACAGGTAAACGCTTTCATAACTTCCAGAATACACAGGTTATCACTTTCGTAATTCCCAGACTATGCAGGTTATATTTTCATAGACGTCTAAAATATGAGATAGGTTTTCATGAAACATCCACGGAACACCTACATTGCACTACGTAACATATGGAATATTAAGTAATGTTTTTAGTGAGTCAGTTCGTTCGTTTTTACGCCTCTTTGAACAGTATTCAAGTTCTATGTCGGCTTGTAAATTTAATGTGGGAGAAAAGCCCTAAGTCATGCAGGGCTTTGATGTTTACCCACGAGCACGGGTATGGAGCTGACAAACCTTGAAACATAATCGGTCGAACCCACGATCACAGGTTCCTGACACGCCAAAGGGACGCAACTCCTTAGACGGCTGTCCCCTTCACATGAGTTAAGAATATATTTGACTTAGACTGTGATTACCTCATAGAGTATGATCATAGATTTCTGGCGGACCAAAGGGACGCAACTCTGCCTGCCACCCGTGCCCCTATTGTTTTCAATTAACGGCTGGGTTACATTTATAAAAAAAATAATTCTGTTTTAGCATGTATGCATGTATTGTGTACTACATGTGCATGTTCATCCAGGTTACCGACCAGCAGTGCAGAGCAAGGTGACTGACCTCTTCGATGCCACTGCCATCAAATACATCGACACTTTGATTCCGTCGGGGATCTATCAGCGGTGAGCATACTCTCTACCTTACCTACCCACTCAATACACAAACTTTCCCATATACTTACAAGGGTGGGTACATGCTTTACCTCTACATTCTGTACTTGAGAAATATAATTTGCTCCACCCCCATGTGTAGTGTAATAATTTATAGCTTTGCCCAGAACTATTACAGTTAAAGCACGAGGATGTTCTCACATTGCTACAACCTTAGACCACGCCTTCCTACATCACATACTCCTGTACAAACGATTAAAGACGTCTGTTTGTGCATTTTGATATTTCAGAACGAACAATTGCCAGCTCTTGGAGACGCACCGACTGTGCAACACATACTGGATCGCTAAGGTAGGACTTGTCCACAGATGGGCCAAATACACTGCCGGGCAAGAGAAAGTATACACTTTAAAATTGGTTTTGAACAAAAATCACAAACGTTATCAAAACGTCGCAAGGCTGAAAACAATGCGAACTTAAGGTCCAAAACACAACTGTGATACCCGTATCAAATACATCACCATCGAATAACCATTTCATGTTTGTTTCATTTTTAGCCAACATCAAATGGTGGTGTGTACTTTCTTTTGCGCGGTTATTTAGTAAGTTGAAAGGATGGGGAATATTATTAAAAGAGTAAAAGACACAGTACTATACGATACCATATGTCTATATCGCGCTTTTCGTGCCTTTCAAGGCTCGGATGCTATGTCTTTATCACGGTGTTCGCGCCGTTCAAGGCTGGGATGTTATGTCTTTATCACGGTGTTCGCGCCGTTCAAGGCTCGGATGTTATGTCTATATCGCGGTGTTCGCGCCGTTCAAGGCTGGGATGTTATGTCTTTATCACGGTGTTCGCGCCGTTCAAGGCTGGGATGTTATGTCTTTATCACGGTGTTCGCGCCGTTCAAGGCTGTGATGTTATGTCTTTATCACGGTGCTCACGCCGTTCAAGGCTGTGATGTTATGTCTATATCACGGTGCTCACGCCGTTCAAGGCTGGGATGTTATGTCTTTATCGCGGTGTTCGCGCCGTTCAAGGCTCGGATGTTATGTCTTTATCGCGGTGTTCGCGCCGTTGAAAACTGGGATGTTATGTCTTTATCGCGGTGTTCGCGCCATTAAAGGCTGTGATGTTATGTCTTTATCGCGGTGTTCGCGCCGTTCAAGGCTCGGATGTTATGTCTTTATCGCGGTGTTCGCGCCGTTCAAGGCTGTGATGTTATGTCTATATCACGGTGCTCACACCGTTCAAGGCTGCGATGTTATGTCTTTATCGCGGTGTTCGCGCCGTTCAAGGCTCGGATGTTATGTCTTTATCGCGGTGTTCGCGCCGTTCAAGGCTGGGATGTTATGTCTATATCGCGGTGTTCCCCCCGTTCAAGGCTGGGATGTTATGTCTTTATCGCGGTGTTCCCCCCGTTCAAGGCTGGGATGTTATGTCTAACGGCTAAGTGCGCCTCTGTAATGCACTATATCGCTGTTTCAGGATGTATTGTTCAACAGTTTGAACGGGGCTGAGGAGACGTTGCTAGGACTAGCTTCCCAGCTGGCAGAGGGAGAAGACCACATCATCGTCGAGGACCTCCGAAGTAGGTGGCGCAGTCGTCTCTAGCTGAATTCATATGTCCTATATGTCTGATAATGACGACAGGAGATCAAACAGTGCCAAAAGTTTACCATATGCACCACTATACACGTATTATTCTACATTATTACCTACTGTGCATTTCTTTAAAAAAATGTGACCATTTGGCTGTTTTCGTGTACTATATAACAGGTAGTATATATCTGCTCCCACAGGCAAGTTCTACGGTCCTCTGTTCTACTCCCGTCACGACAGCGTGGTCCTCAACATCATGAAAGGTCGCGACTACGGCCTGCCCGACTACAACACCGCCCGAAGGGAGATGGGTCTGGACACTATCACCTCTTGGGGGGACATCAACCCATGGCTGAACGCCACAGAACCCGAGGTAATCCGTGTTCTCAGATAGTTATCCACCTTAGCAGAATGCATGTTCAAAACAATAACACCTCACACAATCATACCAACCCTGTCTCACTATGTTCTGGCGTACTGATGGCCCAGTCATCTAGCAGGCGCCGCAAGTAGCTGAGCAGAGTCGTGTCCCATTGGGGTGCCAGAAACTTATGATCGTGGGTTCGAATCCAAGACTTGCCCTAATTAATTTTCTAGATTTGTCAGCACCACAACCCTTCTCGATTGTATATCATAATGAAACGTCCAGAATCACTTCGGGTTCCCGTTCCACATCAAGCAGCCGTGCCACGATACGATTGAAATACTGTTGAAAGTGGAGAAAACTCACTCACTCACTCACTCACTCACTCACTCACTCACTCACTTCCTGCTGCTGTCATGTAACTGGAATAATGCTCACTGTGTTGCGAAACAGTCAGTTCACAACTTTGTGAGGTGGGGTGAAATGGGGTTTAACGTCGCGTTCGAGATCGTTGCACTTATAAAGCGACGTGTGTGCATGTGTGTGTGTCTGCTTGTACTATTGCGAACTAATGCCGATTTTATAGTGCTTGCCAACTGCCGCAGTTTAACACAACAGGTAGTTTCTGCATGGTATCTCGTCCGGCTAGCACTGTTTACTCGGACTAGTACAAGCTGCCTCACACACGTCGCTATGTAAGTGCACTATCATGAACGCGACGTTTAACCCGATTTTACTTCACCTGCAGACCGTCGACCATTTCATTTTGTTTAATTGTCGTGTCGCGTCTTTGGTGTCTACTGTGAATATATTATGGATAATGCCACAGAAAACCCGGTTACACTAGCAAGGTATAACAATGCCTGTCGGGGTGCGCACTGCCACCGTGTGTCACTGTGTGTCCACCTGTGTCATCATCTATAATGTTCATGTTCACTTAGTGATTTGTGAGTGTCTCCTTTCCTTTTTTCGTCGGGGGCGGTGGGGAAGCCTAGTGGTTATAGCGTTGGCTCGTCACGCCGAAGACCCGGGTTCGATTCCCCATATGGGTACAATGTTTGAACCCATTTTCCGGTGTCCCACGCTGTGGAATTGTTAGAATATTGCTAAGGCGGCGTAAAACCATACATTTGTTCGTCGCCATCTGCCTTTGGGATCCGTTTCACAAAGCGATCTTAGCGCTATCGTAAGTCTGAGTTAAAGTATAGAAGATACGTCGAGACCGCTTTGTGAAAGGCTCATGTGTGCACCACGAGTATCACACGTTGTGATTTACCTATAGGTTATAGAGCGCATGCGTGTTATCCACAACGACAACCTTGATAACATCGACATCTACGTGGGCGGGATGATGGAGACGACGCCGCAGGGGCCAGGGGAGCTGTTCTCCCTCATCATCATGGACCAGTTTCTGAGACTGCGAGATGGAGACAGGTTCTGGTTCGAGAACAGGAACAACGGGTGAGTAAGGGGGAATCACCTTATAACGTAAACATGGGGCGCCGCTTTGATCAATAAACCGCAGAAAACAAAGAATTTTTAAATAGAACCATTACCATTTCCCTGTATTATTGCGGTCGCAGAGTGTGCAGTGAAGGTAGTTACAGTAATGCACTTCACTGTTAACAGACCCGTGAAGATCCGGGGTAGCATAGCTCTTCAGGAACCCATACTTGCCGTTATAGGCGACTATGCTTGTCGTAAAAGGCGACTATACTTGTCGTAATAGACGACTAACGGGATTGGTTGGTCAGACTCGCTGACTTGGTTGATGCATGTCATCGATCCCAACTTCGTGGATCGATACTCATGATATCAATCACTGGACTGTCTGGTCCAGACTCGATTATTTACAGACCGCCGTCATATAGCTGGAATATTGTTGAGTGTGGCGTTAAACAACAAACAAACAAACCACTGTTAAGACAAACAGCTGGTACCATGTGCATGAAACGGAGTGTCCACCATAATATCTCTGCCTATTGCAGTTACCTTTCTGGGTCGGTTTAAGAGAACAAATATCTCCATTCTTGAATTGTACATGTTTATTGCAGCATATTCTCCGACGACGAGATCGCTGAGATCATGTCCATCACCATGTACGACATCATCGTCAACACCACTACGATTATGGAGGACGAGATCCAGCAAGACGTCTTCACCTTCTCACACAGTCAGTACACAAGCACTACCTGCAGACACTAACTGTAGTACTGTTTATGGACATTGTCGAAGTTCTGCTCAAAGAGATTAATATATGTGACCAGCCATGAGATAAGGGACCTTATGGGTGAAAAATCACATTTTGAGTTCTTACTCTACAGTAAACTACGGTTATAACGAACACGCTTATAACGAACTGACGGATATAACGAACTTACTTTTGGGTCCCGACTATTTGCTGTAGTTATACTGTGTATATGCTTATAACGAACTACGGTTATAACGAACTAAAATAAGTAGTCCCTTTGAGTTCGTTATAACCGTACTTTACTGTATTTTAAAACTGCAGTATCTTAGGAACACACAAATACATTTGATAAGCATATTTATTACAGAGTGACATGTCATAAACCATTTGGATTCATTTTCTGCAAATTCCCATTTTCAGGCTTATTACTCTTTTTGTAATAATTGTAGTTTTTAGATATAATGTCTGATTTATTGAAAGTAGACATGTATGCTGAAATGCTTTGAGTGAGTGAGTGAGTGAGTGATAATGTTTTTGTTACATTACGAACTAACGAGCCAGAAGTACGATATTTTGTCTACTGTACGCACACGTGGCGATTTTTACGGCGTTACGTTGACGTCTTTCTTTATGAGGTCACAGCACAATTGTATCCTAGCATCCATTTCTCCTGGCGGGTCACATATTTTAATTGTTACCATTCCAGATAAATGTTACAGTGACAGTTATGGTGAGATATGTGTAGCTGCGTGCAGGTCTGTAACTGAACATTATGTTCCAGGTGACCCCTGCTCTCTGCCCTCACTGTTGAACTCCAGCATGCTCGACGCCTGTCCTGCGCACAAGGGCTACAACTTCTTTGCCGGAAGTGAAATACCTTACATCATCATCTGGATCTGTATAGGAGTTATACCACTAGGTGACGTCACATGATTCCTTATTTGGGCACATGCATAACTCGTCGGACTGGAATTAATTCCTGAACAATACTTGGGCGGATACGGGGGGGGGGGGGGGGGGGGGGGGGGTTGCGCGCCCCCCCCCCCCCCCCCCTTTTTATTTTGAAAAAAATCTTTATTTCTGTATAAATTACCACCAAAGACAATAAATAGATCTTAGTTGTGCGCCCCCCTTTTCAAAAAAGCTGTATCCGCCCATGCAATAGTATAAGATTGTTTGCTTGTTATCTGGTTGTCATATGTCATGATAGTGTAAGTTTATACATCGTCATACCATACATGTAGATTCATCCTCGATTGTCAAGAGTATTTTAGCTTTTATGAAAAATACCCATGACCCCATTCGTTTTGAGCCCGATTCAAATTGCATGATGCTATAAATAGTCGTCCAATCACATTGCTCTCACGAGCAACAGTAATTTTGTGCTAAGCTGCAGATAGGAATTGTGATGATGGTGACGTCGCTTCCGAAACAAAGGCGAAATGGGGTTTAATGTCGCGACCAAGATTATTGCACTTATGTTGACTTCCAGACTAATGCCGATTATGTAGTGCTAGCCTAGTGAGATACCATGCCGCAGTTTTAACATGAATACCCCACTCAGACACAGTATACTGACTCCCAGCCGACCAGTCCAGGTTTTAACCCCTTAATGCCACCAGCGAGTTAACAACAAGTACTATCTTTAACGTCTTTTGGTATGATGCGGCCGGGGATCGAACCCCGGACCTTCCGCTCTCTGGGGGGACGCTCTACCACTGGACCACGGAAGCGGTCTACAGTAATAGGATGACGCATGTTATGACATGAGAGCCAATCCAATATGCTGAGTGTGGTGAGGTATCCAGAGGGATCCTCCAGCCTTTGAAAATTGCATGTACAGTGAATGTTCTACTAAAAGTAATATATGAATCGCAAAATTGTGTTCTGACCCGTGTCATCCCCGTGTCTGCAGCATGCATCCTGGTGGCCTATATCCTGGCCAAATGCAAGCGATGGCGTCACCAAAAGAGGGTCAAGGACGCTAAGGAGGAGAAGGAGAGGAAGAGGATTCTACGACGTACCCTGTCGTCCAGTGTGTCAGGTACGTCATTCAAACACGTCGTGTAGGACTGTTCAATATCATTACTTCAGTAAGACAATGCCGTTACACAAAATGCTGAACATATTCAAAGTGGGAAGAAGGAGTGCTTAGGATTTGGGTTTTCACGAAGTTCTAAAAGTTCTGGCCAGAGAGAGAAAAGGAAATGAGATTCCGAAGAAGCAAATCAATCCTTTTTCTGTCCCACAGATTTTATTAACTGTGTGTTTATTTCTATTTTATGAGTATTATTTTTTATCCTTCTATGTTGTTTTGTGAGACTTTACCTTAACTCGTATTTGCCTGATTTGAGTATATTAACATGGTTTTCTCTTTTGCATTGGTGTTAACGTATTAAAAAGAGGAAGAAAGATGTGCATTAATGAAATTATACATAATGTTTTCCATTATTTTGTTTACAGATGAAACAAAAAGTAAATTCAACTTATTTGTGCACTACACGGGTCAATAACGTATCACCTGTTCACACACATAAAAATATATTTATGTATATAAATTAAAACGTTTTAGTTTCTTAATTACATGTTAATTCAGCACATTAATATTTAACATACTATGTGCACAGTAATTTCTTTAACCACTAGATAATCATACGATATAGCCAGGTCACACGAGAACCGTTTCATGCGTTCCCATAATCATAACACTGGAATACTCTCATGTACGTACTGTTCACAACCAATCATGTACAATGTCACTGATGAAAGATACACACATGATTTAACTATTGCGCCAGTATTAGCCTGAAAATTCTGTATTAGAATATGTTTTGTGTTGGGTGTTGATAACGGATGGCACCGTTGTAGAGAGCTAATCTGATTTTGTTTGGCCGATTTGTGTGTGTTCTTTCATTTCTGCAATTTGCTGGCTTCCCACCATGTCGCCTACTTCTGAGCTGACGCTTCATGCAATGTTGAACTTTCGGGGTGTGCAGTGAAGGTAGATGACCAAACTTGTATTTTAGATGTTAAGTAATACAAACAGTGACAACTTACCTGACATAAGGCCAATCACTTAACTCTGCTACACGAATCTGCCATCATCTTCCCGAGGCAAGGGTGTTAACTGAGTACAAAAGTCCAGTTTCCATCTTTGACGAACTAAGCTTCAATTTCTTTGGAAGATTTGGAAGATATCTGTCGACGCCCAGATGTCAGAACACATGCTTTGCAAATCCTGCAGTCAACGGAAATCTGCACGTTGAAATCCACGCTTTTTACGAACCGGATTTCTTGTTCATTGTGCGATTTTGATTGGTCTGTGCATAGACTCATTGGTCATTAATAAAAATGTAACTCCGGAATTCCAGCCCAGTTGGGCAAGGGTGGGAACTGGACTTGTACTGTCCTATCTGCAATATATATAAACATTTTAGTTAAAAAATATCAGTTTATGTAATTTAGACAAATGTGTATGTTGAGACGAAGCTGTTATGAATCAACTAGCCTTTTTCTTTATCGATAAATGTGCGTCATTATCAGTTATTTGATCAATGACCGTTCTAAAATATGCTATTACAACTAAACTCTGTGTATATATTATTATTTGGGCAAGTCAAACCTAAACTATGTAAAACATGTTTGTTCTCTTGATATATACATATGAATACGGAAGTAAGTATTTGTTCTCCAATTACAATTCGGACAAGTCCGGAAGGTGGAATATCCCTTTAACTGCGTTATGCATGTCCTTAATGTCGGTTTCAGACAGATATACTAGTATCCACAGCACGCTTTGGTTATCTTCATTCCAGAATAATAGGTGTGACTGTTACTACAATGTGGGATGTGACCGATCATGTCTCATTGTGCCTCAGCTGCATGGATCTTTGGCTTGCTCACTCTATCATCCCAGCCTCAGAAACCCTTAAGACCTTCTTTACCTTATTTCTCTTGTCCTCAGAGTTTGTAGTGGTCGTGAATGAGATAAAAATGATAACTATGTTCACATTTTCTATCAATTTTAGACCGCCTCCGTGGTCTTGTGGGAGAGCGTCCGCCCGGAGAGCGGAAGGTCCGGGGTTCGATCCCCGGCCGCGTCATACAAAAAGACGTTAAAAGATTGTACTTGTTGTTACCCTGTCTGGCGCTCGGCAGTAAGGGGCTAAAACAAGGACTGGTCGGCTCGGAGTCAGTATACTGTGTCTGAGTGGGGTATTCATGTTAAACTGCGGCATGGTATCTCAGTGAGCTAGCACTATAAATCGGCATCAGTCCGGACTAGTACAAGCAGCCACACACACACATACACGTGCATGCACGTCGCTATATAAGTGCAATAATCTTGGACGCGACGTTAAACCCAATTTCACCTCACCTCTATCAATTTTATTCAAAGCCTTGAGAATTATACCCTTCCAATGCTATTTACTTATGGACCACCATTATTGGATGTTTACGTGTCCTCAGCACAATATATTAGTCTCGGGCTAAAAACAATGGATAAATGTTATATCTTTCAATCATTAAAGAGATAATCCATTTTCTCAATTCTCAAAATTATTTGTGCAGATGAACCATTCGGACGTCATACTGCAGCATTTTGAACAATACGTTTTGAACTCACCCATTGTATGACGTACAAATGGTAGCGTCACGTTATTTCAACAATATATTTACTTCAGTGAAGATTCTTTGTTGGGTTGATTTCACATATGTCATTCATAATTGATGTGACCCGTGAAGATCCGGCATAGAATAGATCTTCAGCAACCCAAAATTGCCGTAAAAAGCGACTATGCTTGTCGTAAGAGGCGACTAACGTGATGGGGTAGTCAGGCTACCATGAATTTGGAAATTATTCGATTCGGATTGGTCAATCAGAGGCTATTTAATCACAATAAACCCCCTCTGATTGAAACAGCTGGTTTGACGGCCGCATCACCGCGGAAGCTAATATTCATAGAATAGAACTTTTTTCAATCATTGTCAGTAGGCGTATTTAAATAACTATACCTACAATTATAGGTTACAAATTGCAAAGTTACCGTCACTACAAAAATCAAAGGATGTGTGGCAATACATTTCGTGCAGAAAAAACGATAGAAATCAACAAAGAGAGTGTATTTCAAGTTTTGGGGACAACAGAGATCTTGGAATTTGGCACTTTTCTGTATACTGTGACGTCATATCTTTTGTGCCACAATGAGCGATATGACGTCATAATGGTGACGTGCGGTATAGAACGAAAGCTTTCAAAGCTTGCTTAGTTCTCTTTAGGGGTGCCGACCTCATGTTTGCTTTCCAAGTTGCCGTGCTTATATGCTGTCAATGCCTGTCATGTGTTCGAGTGAAGTATAATGGTGTAAACAAACTGCTTGAGCATATACAGCGCAATATTATGTTTAAACGCTGTTGTCGGTGAATCCGTAATTCACATCGACAACCCACTCAAATCACTGGACTCAACCCATGCCGCTTCACTCAATATATTTGCTAGCAGCAAAGAGTCCGCGTTTCATTTAATCATGGTAGAATTACTATGTTTTCAATGTAGAGCTAGGTTACCTGGAGATTATTTGTCAATCGTGAACAGAACCCGCAATATATCGACGTAGTCCCAACGTTGTCACCGATTTTTGGATGTATTCGAGTGTAGTTCCAATACTATATGCCATCCCGTTCAACGTTCCGTAGATGTCATACCACAAGGAGTACATTTAACACCAAGTACATATAGATACCCCGTAAGATGTTGATCTTGGTTATTACACGGAACAATATGATATAGATAGGTCCTTCATGAAGTATATCCTACCCATGCAATAATGATATATCCTGTGTATAGTTCACGAGACTCAGGAGTGGCGGGGTAAGGATGCGGCCGGGCGCTGTGTGGAGCTCCATCTGACGTCCAAGGAGACGCTGGAGGTGTTCAGCACTGAGGGGACACATCTGAGAACCATCAAGCTCCTCAACATGAGCGTCATCAAAATCAGCATTAGCAACAACAAGGGGCGCAACGTCTTCATGATTCATGTACCTAAAGAATACGACTTGGTAAGATAATACAATAGGATATGTGTGTGTAGACATCAGATATATTGTACGTCATCATCGTGTGTGTAAGCGACAAATCCCGGAATTATGACAGTTTGTTGTTTAGCACCATGTCCTGTGTAATTCCTAATTTACACAAGGATGTCTTGATATAAGCAAAACACTGTTGAAAACACTCATAAACCAACTGCACGTTTACTCCCTGTTAATCGATCCCTAGTCTCACTGGATCCGATTCAATTAAAGAGTGACAAGATTGTCCCCGATGCCCGTAAACGTCTATCAATACCTGACAAGCATCAATGCTGCACGATGTATTATTCATCATTGATGCGCCTGGTATTAAGCCACGATATTCTTCATTGATGCACCTGGTATTAAGCCACGATATGCATCGTTGATGCTCCTGGTATTAAGCCACGATATGCATCATTGATGCGCCTTGTATTAAGCCCCAATATGCATCATTGATGCGCCTGGTATTAAGCCACAATATTCATCATTGATGTGCCTGGTATTAAGCCACGATATGCATTGATGCTGCACAATGTATTAAGCCACGATATGTATTGATGGTGCAGCATAAATTAAGCCCTGATATGCATCAATGCTGCGTCCTGTTATTGTAAATATAAAGGATTTGTACCCTAGTTCACGTACTGTCGTCTGTCGCAGGTGTTGGAGTTCCCAAGCGAGGTTCACCGGATCCAGTTTGGGCAGAGTCTGACGGACTACCTCGGCAGCTACGACACGGAGTTCATGGTGCAGGAGATGTCGGTGAAGGAGCTGTACGAAATGGCCATGACCAAGACCAAGAGGAATGCTCAGCTGGAGAAATTCTTTAAGACTGTCTTTGCCGAGGTAACAATGTTATGTCAAAAATAGAAGGGGTAGAATAGGTCTTCAGCAACCCATGCTTGCCGTAAAAGGTGACTATGCTTGTCGTAAAAGGCGACTAACGGGATCGGGTGGTCAGGCTCGTTGGCTTGGTTGATGCATTTCATCGATCCCAATTGCGTGGATCGATGCTCATGATGTCAATCACTGGATTGTCTGGTCCAGACTCGATTATTTACAGACCGCCGTCATAAAGCTGGAATATTGCTGAGTGCGGCGTTAAACAACAAACCAACCAACCAACCAAGAATTTCGACATAATTTGTTTGGCTTCTGGTACTGTAGCTTTTAAATATATCATCGTTTAGTCAACAGTCTTACTGTTGCCCGCACCCTTTGTGTTCCTAGTACGATACTGGTAGATTCAATGAGACAGTTTCACATCACCGCCTATAAGTTTAGACTCTCCAGTGCCACGTTCTATAAAGTGATCTCACTGTCGCAAGCCTATAACGGTCGTCCTAGCGCTACGATCGCGTTGATGCACAAAGCCCATGTGGAACTGTTTCTTCTCTCAGGCGTTCAAGATGGACTATGACCCGACACTGGACCAGGTGCAGCTGGACATGAAGAAACAAACCAAGGAGATCCTCCAGTGTGAACTCTCTAAGGTAAGTAACTTGTGAATCACTCATTGCATTCGAACAGCAATGGCAAGAAGCGTCCATTAAGTTTTGTAAAGGACCAACTGAAGCAGTGATGATGTATTTATAATAATGAAAGTTGGGGACAATGATGATGCACTGTGAACCACTTTAGCCTCCCTCCCCACTCATTCTCTCACTCGTCTCTCTCAGGAGGAGTTTGCCGAGGCTCTTGCAGTGAAGGCCGACTCAGACTTCGTGGAACACTTCTTTTGCCTCATCGACTCCGACAGGAACGGCTACATCTCCTTCAGGGAGTTCCTTAACGCTGTCGTGCTCTTCTCAAAGGGTATGTCTGCCACTATACTCCCCCATCAACGGTAATTGTGTTTTCTTGTATGTACGTGCAATTGAATGCCAACTCTTCCTCATGCATGGGACGTGTGTTCTATACTATATCCTACAGAATAGGCCTTCAGCAACCCATGCTTTCCTTAAAAGGCAACTATGCTTGTCGTAAGAGGCGACTTACGGGATCGGGTGGTCAGGCTCGCTGACTTGGTTGATGCGCGTCATCAATCCCAATTGCTTGGATCAATGCTCATGATGTCAGTCACTGGATTGTCTGGTCCAGACTCGATTATTTACAGACCGCCGTTATATAGCTGGAATATTGCTGAGAGCGGCGTAAAACAACAAACACACACACACGCTCCTTTATTTTTGAATGACGCCTCTCCTCCAACCACAGGGACGTGCCAGGACAAGCTACAGACGATGTTCTACATGTACGACATGGACGGCAGTGGTGTGATGACCAAGAAGGAAATCTGCCAGATGTTCAGGTACGCCAAAATACGACAAGAAATATTTTTGGATCACACTCAAGTGATGCAACACCAAATTGACATGTATGCACCTAAATACCCAATAGTTGCAGAGAAGTTCATTTTACAACTGAAGAATGAGGAGGAATAGTCTCACTGTATACGATCAAATCTATAATGTCCATGTGCGTAGTGTTAATGGAATGTGCCTCCAGACAGGGACGTCCACTGATTCAGGGCCAGGGTCAATGCCTGGATCCTATTTATGAAATCCTTTCTTGTTGTCCAATTTTATGTAGCATTTAACAGCCGTGGTGTTTGTGTTATACACCTCACTCACTCACTCACTCACTCACTCCAGGTCACTGTTGGAGCTAGCACAGAGTAACCTGGAGAGCCAGGAGGTCGAGCAGCTGGTGGAATCTCTGTCTGTCCAGGCAGGACTCGAGGATAAGGAGCACTTCCGGTTTGAGGACTTCTGCCAAATCCTGTCGCCCCAGATGGACATGTTGTGGAACGCCTCCATAGACTGGAAAGGTCAGTAGAATGGTAGAATTTATCGTAGTGCCTGTATGGTAGGCTGTATTGCCGTGTTGGTTTGGTCAAACAGTACAGATTATATGCACGCGGTCTTGTATAACTTGTTGACTAAATGTGCTCGATTATGTTTCAGGAATCAAGAACTGCTTGCCCAATGATAAGAGTAACCACAAAGCGAAGTAAGTTGTACCAGTGCATAAGTTACATGGTCATTCGGCCTTAAAGAGAATTTACCTCTACCTACTACCTGTCACTTGCTACTCTGGTGTAGTACCTATACCACTGGGACGGAGGGGTAGACTAGTGATTAAAGCGTTCGCTCGTCACACCGAAGACCCGGGTTCGATTAACCACATGGGCACAATGTGTGAAACCCATATCCGGTGTCCCTAGCCCTGATATTGCTGGAATTTTGCTAAAAGTGGCGTAAGGCCATATATAACTAATTATTACTTCGATGACAAAAGAATATAATGGATCACGTGTTGAGGATAGCATGCGGCAAGGGCGCATCATGTTTTGAATAAATTCCTTTGATCTACTCTCAGGGGTGATTCTGACGTCCGTCAGCGCACAAATTCCCATCAGACGTCAGGAAGTCAGTCCAGCACAGATTCTGTCCACTCTCCAACCGCTAGACGGAGCTTCACGGCTGTCAGGGAGAAGTACACTCCGGTCAAAGCCAAGATCAAGATGGTGAAGCACTTCGTGGAAAACTATCGAGCACACATCTTCTTCCTCATCATGTTCTTCGGCATCATCTTGGGGCTGGCAGCAGAGAGATTTTACTGTGAGTGCACTTAAATACACTGTACAGCTAGTTTGTCTGAATGTTAGGGTTGTAACTATAGCTTACTATTTCTCCTAAGTACATCAACAAACTTATACTGAACTGAAATTACCGGTATATCCAGACAGAAACATTAGGATTAACAATGAGTGGAATATACTTTGTCTTCCTCTCTCTTCATTCATGATCATACGTTCTCAAGGTATCAGCTATGTATTTGCATTGGGACAGGAATGTATGAGATGAGACAGTCTGAAGCTGTTGTTCCCTGCCATAATGCCCCCCCAAAACGTTGAATATGCCATATATTTCAAAATATACTTCGCACCAAAAATCCCTTTGAAGATTCGGGCTTAAAATAGGTCTTGCCCTAAGAGACGTCTATGCTTGTTGTAAGAGGCGACTTACGGATCAGTTGGACAGGTCAGCTGACTTGGTTGATGCATGTCATCATATCCCAATTGAGTGGATCGATGCTCATGATATCAATCACTGGATTGTCTGGTCCAGACTCGACTATTTACAAACTATTGTCATATAGCTGGAATATTGCTAAGAGCAACGTTAAACAACAAACAAACAAACTGCACCAAAAGAAACTGTTCATATGATGAAATCAAAAGAATTTTTTTCGGTGCTTGGTACAGAAACAAATCACACATCCCCCTCTACCAACAAATATTGTGATAGAGCATGCTTTGTAACTGAGATGTGTTTTTCTAGCGCACGTCACAATTATTTCTGTGTAAGATTCTTGCTGAGTGAACTCGAGGAGCTAAAACATGTTAGCCAATGACTAGCAAACGTAGAAGGTTCACTAGTGAGCTACAGGTTGAGAGAGTCACATACTAACTTCTGTCTCCCTATAGACTACACAGTCGAGAGGGAACAGAGCGGACTCCGGAAGCTGATGAGTTACGGCATCAGTATGACAAGAGGAGCTGCTGCCGCGATGTCGTTCACATTCTCCCTGCTGTTACTGACGATGTGTCGCAACACTATCACCTTCCTCCGGAGCACCTTCCTCAACTTCTTCATCCCCTTCGACTCCCACGTCTCCTTCCACAAGGTCGTCGCCTGGACAGCGCTGTTCTTCTCAGGTAGGTCAAGTCAGCAGACGGGAAGACTCTTGGACACATGGTGGGGTGGCCTAGTGGTAAAAGCGTTCGCTTCCCAGGGTTCGACTCCTGATTTGGGTTGAATCCCGGTTGACCATTGTTGACGTCCCCGAAATTATGTCTGGAATAGTGTAATAAACACCGAACTCATTCTCGGGTCACTCAGTTCATTCAATCACAGCTCGGCATGTGACACAATGTTATAATACTTTGAGTTTCAGAACGCAAAGTAGAATTTTTATAATGTAAATGCTCCTGGACGCCGAACTTCCGGTCATTACCGGGAGTCAGAATCTGGGCAAGGGTGTCAACAAACCTTCAGATTGCAATTTTTGGCATTTGTCAATTTATGTAATTCGTAACTTTTTCCGAATCTATTAGTTATGCGAGTGTTGCTAGTCTTTGGGGTTTTTTTTCTTGATTTAACAATGTGTTATCTCTGCAGCTGTCCACGTGATCGGCTACAGCTTCAACTTCTACAGCATTGCAACACAACCCACTCGCTTCCTGTGCATCTTCGACAGCATTGTCTTCCGCGCCGAGGCCCTCCCGACCTTCACCTTCTGGCTGTTTGGCAACATGACAGGTAGATAAGTTAATACACACAGATTACCGTAAAACACAAGATTACCGTAGATACACACAGATTACCGTAAAACACAAGATTACCGTAGATACACACAGATCAACGTAAAACACAAGATTACCGTAGATACACACATAGTACCGTAAAACACAAGATTACCGTAGATACACACAGATTACCGTAAAACACAAGATTACCGTTGATACACACAGATTACCGTAAAACACAAGATTACCGTAAATACACACAGATTACCGTAAAACACAAGATTACCGTAGATACACACAGATTACCGTAAAACACAAGATTACCGTTGATACACACAGATTACCGTAAAACACAAGATTACCGTAGATACACACAGATCACCGTAATAACACAAGATTACCGTAGATACACACAGATTACCGTAAAACACAAGATTACCGTAGATACACACAGATTACCGTAAAACACAAGATTACCGTAGATACACACAGATTACCGTAAAACACAAGATTACCGTAGACACACACAGATTACCGTAAAACACAAGATTACCGTAGATACACACAGATTACCGTAAAACACAAGATCACCGTAGATACACACAGATTACCGTAAAACACAAGATTACCGTAGATACACACAGATTACCGTAAAACACAAGATTACCGTAGATACACACAGATTACCGTAAAACACAAGATTACAGTTGATACACACAGACTACTAAAGATACACACACCACACAGATTACACACAACTAGATTACATGTGAGTATTGTATTATCGGAATTCGTCTTTTGCTTATATGCCCGTTAAATACCACCATTTACAAAGTCAAAGAGTTTGGATAGTTTACTTGAAGCACTAATTCATCAATGTGATTATGTGGATTTTGAAATTCCTTCTTGTATCTTGGTCTCCTGGCCTATTGTGAGTCGCAATGAGTGTAACCTCCAGATGTGCCGTGTGTATTATAAAGGATAAAAAGGTGGTGGTGGTGGAATGGAGTTTAACGTCGCGTCCAAGATTATTGCACTTATATAGCGACGTGCATGTACGTGTGTTTGTGTGGCTGCTTGTACTAGTCCGGACTGATGCCGATTTATAATGCTAGCCCACTGAGATACCATGCCGCAGTTTAACATGAATACCCCACTCAGACACAGTATACTGACTCCGAGCCGACCAGTCCCTGTTTTAGCCCCTTATTGCCGAGCGTGGGACAGGGTAACAACAAGTACCATCTTTTAACGTCTTTTGGTATGACGCGGCCGGGGATCGAACCCCGGACCTTCCGCTCTCCGGGCGGACGCTCTACCTCTAGACCACGGAGGCGGTCAAGGATAAAGGCGGAGGCGGTCAAGAATAAAAGATGCACAGATGCACAGATACAGATGCACAGATAGCATTGTTATAACGGACACCTAAGATTAATCTCCTAACTGTGAACTTGATTATAAAGTATTTTGTTCCGTGTTCACGCTATCAATCTCTGGTTTGTCTACCGCTAGTACACTTCATGAAGCGCGTAGTATTATAAACTGATTTCACTCAGTCAGTCGTTTCAAACGTAAACGAAACTATTTGTTTTTTTAACCTAAAATCCAACCCTTGTTTGTTCAGTCTCACCTGCAGTTTGTGTTCTATTCCAGGGTTCACTGGTGTGCTCCTGGTGGTTGTGCTGTGCATCATGTACGTGTTCGCCACCCAGACAGCTCGCCGCCACATCTTTAACCTGTTCTGGCTCACACACAAACTGTTCATCATCATGTACGTCCTGGTCATCCTCCACGGGGCGTCGGTCATCGTGCAGAAGCCGCTATTCTACGCCTACTTGGTGGGCCCCGCCGTCTTGTTCACCATCGACAAGATGGTCAGTCTCAGCAGGAAAAAGGTCCAGATCAGCATTGTCCGAGCACAGAATCTCCCGTCAGGTAAAATCCAATTCTTTTAAATCAGATATTTTACTCCATTATGACACCCTCTGCGTGAAGGTCTGAGGACACCTTCATGATAGCAGGATATGCTTGTTTGAATGCTTCTCTCGCTCGTTCTGAGGATTTTGAAACCTTGATGCTGATTGGCTCATTAGAAAGATCACGTGACCCGACCTCCTCAGGAGATGTCCTCAGATCTTGATGTAGTGATGTATCGAATCCAAATAAAACATCTGATTTTAATGAGACCAAATAAGGCTGCGTCTCTACAATCTGCCGTCTTGCCTTTGCATGTGTTTGTGACCGGTGATACCGAATGGGTAGGATACGCTCACCTTTTCACGAACACCTGGTATCATCACCATTTGATAGTGATTCATAAACACCTGCTCGTGATACAGTCGGAATCCTACAATGGACTCAGTCTTTGGCAGGGATTTCTTGTGAACAAATAGTCATGGCAAAGGTTTTGCGCTTTTTTATGTGTATATGAAGCCTGTCATCTCAAAAGACAGATAAGGGCTTTCTCACAAACATTTTTCTTTTTTTAAATAATGCGATTTCGTAAATACACCTAGCTCGTATCCCGAATAATAAAAAGCTGAATAATGGCCACTGTATTCCAGGTAATGTCAGTATTCCAGGTAATTGTATTTCAAAAAAAATTGTTTTTAACAAATCTAACAAATGTTGTTTCAAAATAATGCAAATCTAAATGCGAATTCGAATAATGTGTATCCCCGATTGCCACTGATCTTCTCTCTTGTATCATCTGTTGTCCCAATTATCTCCCTATATCTGCATGTGCATTTTTTGCCCAGTTGCTTTCTCAAAAGTACAAACTGTACAAACGTTACCTGCTCAGAACTGACAGCTTAATGGTTGTCTTAAATACGACTTTCAATTTAGTTTGTTTGTTGTTGTCGGTAGTATAGAACGGGTCGCCAGAAGGCTATTTTGGTTGATCCGGTTGATCCAGGCGGATGCGAAGGTGATTGGTTGATCCAAGTCACGTGATCTGATAGGTTGACTCATGCATCAACAGCGCGTCACAGGTGAGGGGGGAATGAAAGGTGTGTGTTTATAAGGCAGAAAAGAATTCATAGGAAAACAAAAGTAAAGGGTATTGAATAGAGCTATGTGTATGGCGTGCTGCCCTGAATAGACAGACCGTACCCGTCAGCCCAGTTTGAATTGAGCGCGCTTGACAACTGACGTGGCCTCGTCGTTTAACCCGCGCTCGCGAGAGCGTGCGACCTGGTTTGATGAATACAGGGTGTGTGTTGAAAGTACATCATACCACAACAGAGACGGGTTGTGTCAACATGATATACACCGGGTAATGTAGGGAAAAATAAATAAAAATGTACGTCTAGCTGGATCAAATTCATCTTGTACGGCCTACACGTTGTACACCATGAACGTTAGACAACCTGTATAGAAAAAAATATAGACAAAATAGATAAGACTACACAATCAGCAAGCTAGCAGTTTACATTTAGCGCGCAACAACGAGGTCGTCACGTCACCCTGCATTGACTATAACGCTGAAGGCAGCCGTATTTCGAATCACCCCGCGCTGCGTACTATTGTGAACCATTTGTATAGAGGGCGTTCACTTATTCAGGTCTGTCCCGACTTGCATAGTTGATGTTTCAATGCAAGCTTTTTTCCATTTAACGCGATGACATATAAACCGTACGGTTTGAGTTTTAACCGTGTATCATGATGTGCACAGTTTTACTTCAGAACGTGCTATTTTGAAAATAGGTAGTTAGAACCATGTCTATGTCAAATAAGAAAACTGATAAGTACATGTACCAGTGTGACGGTACGAAGCTATAGGTTTGTTGGGAAAGTGATGGAAGCAATCTATAGGACATTTTCATGTTTACAATACTCACCCTTCATTCGAAGAGAGAACAGAGTTTTTTATGGAAAATTGTTTGACGAGGAAAATGTTTTATTGGAAATATATGTCGAAGCAGGTTTATTCATAGCTAATGTATAGCAGAGAGACTAAGCGACCGGCCGCCCATAACAATGTCAACATACCCCGGCCTTACAATTAATGTCAACATACCAGCCTCGCCTGAAGCTTCCCATTCATAAATTGTGTGACCAGTGTCCCGTATTTATGATATGTTAGGGAACATGTGTTGTACATTTGTTATTTTGAAAGGGAGTTATTTCAGAGAGGATATATATGGGTATTCCCCCCGTCATTAAACCTTTCTTTCGTTGGTGTCTATTAAACGTATCCGGTATTTAATACATTTGAATGATGTAGGAAAGTATGTGCGTGTAGATGTTGTACCTGTATCCGAACACGAATGTAAGACACCTTTCAATAGATCAATTACGGTTCTAACCACGACACGCAACATGACTATGAGCGTGGTTTAGCAGTTCATATTTATAAACACATCGTAAATGACAGATTTCTGATGAATGAACTCGCCCGCACACATGTCTATAGGGTTATGTTCGCCCGAACTGTAAACAGTGACACATTGATAACAGGAAGGGTGTGTGGAATGCACTCGTCCTTGTAAGGGTAAAATACGCGTTTAAACTCACCATTTAAATGATGACATTACTTTTTAGATGTATTGGTATAAGTGAGTGAGTGAATTTAGTTTTACGCCACACTCGGCATTATTCCAGCTCTAGGACGGTGGTCTGTCAATAAACGAGCTTGGACCAGACAATCCAGTGATCAACAGCATGAGCAGCGATCTGTGCAACTAGGAACCGATGGCACGTGTCATCCGAGTCGGCGATACTGACCAACCGATCCCCGTCAGTCGCCGATAAGCATGGGTTACTGAAGGTCGATTCTATAACCCGGACCTTCACGGGTGTAGTATGACGAAGACTATATACTAATATGATCGCTTTTTTAACATACTCACAATTGTGCTGTGAAGAAAAGAGTGTCTTCCAAGATTCCCTGCACGTGTAAGACAGTATAAACTCTACAGTAGCGTAGCCCGACAAACAGTTTTACTCTCGCAAGCAAACGGATTGGACGTGAACAACATGAAGAAAGCATCAGAGATTAGACTTGACCCTAGAGATATATTTAGGAAGACTACGTTGAGAAAATCACAACAGAGAAAGAAACCACAAGCAGCCAAGAAGTCGACGCTGAAGACAAAGAAGAGACAGGTAACACCTAAAATGAAAACGATGACAACCAAACAGGGATCGAAGACAACACCCCAACCCGTGAAAATACAACATGTGTCGGAGGTGAAGGCTGTGGTGGATCGGGCACTTGCTGCCTTGAAGCGTCAACAGAGTCAAGGGTATAAAAGAAAGCTTCATACCCTCTAATCGCACAACGTATTGGATCACCATGGGGGTTGCCACCTGTCCGGACTGTGAAAAAATGTTTTCAAGGAGAGATATCATGTTACGACACAGGAGAAATAAACATAGCATACCGCCGCCGTTACAAGCCCACCCGCCGCCGCAAGTCCACCGACCATTACAAGCCCACCCGCTAACGCCGCCGCCGCCGCCGCCGCCGCCGCCGCCAATCCACCCGCCATAACAAGCCCACCCGCTAACGCCGCCGCCGTTACAAGCCCACCCGCCGCCGCAAGTCCACTGGCCAGCGGCGGCGGCGGGTGGGCTTGTAACGGTGGGTTGGCTTGACGCAGCGGCGGCGGCGGCGGCGTTAGCGGGTGGGCTTGTAATGGTCGGTGGACTTGCGGCGGCGGGTGGGCTTGTAACTATGCAAGTCGGGACAGACCTGAATAAGTGAACGCCCTCTATACAAATGGTTCACAATAGTACGCAGCGCGGGGTGATTCGAAATACGGCTGCCTTCAGCGTTATAGTCAATGCAGGGTGACGTGACGACCTCGTTGTTGCGCGCTAAGTGTAAACTGCTAGCTTGCTGATTGTGTAGTAGTCTAGTCTATTTTGTCTATATTTTTTTCTATACAGGTTGTCTAACGTTCATGGTGTACAACGTGTAGACCGTACAAGATGAATTTGATCCAGCTAGACGTACATTTTTATTTATTTTTCCCTACATTACCCGGTGTATATCATGTTGACACAACCCGTCTCTATTGTGGTATGATGTACTTTCAACACACACCCTGTATTCATCAAACCAGGTCGCACGCTCTCGCGAGCGCGGGTTAAACGACGAGGCCACGTCAGTTGTCAAGCGCGCTCAATTCAAACTGGGCTGACGGGTACGGTCTGTCTATTCAGGGCAGCACGCCATACACATAGCTCTATTCAATACCCTTTACTTTTGTTTTCTTATGAATTCTTTTCTGCCTTATAAACACACACCTTTCATTCCCCCCTCACCTGTGACGCGCTGTTGATGCATGAGTCATCCTATCAGATCACGTGACTTGGATCAACCAATCACCTTCGCATCCGCCTGGATCAACCGGATCAACCAAAATGGCCTTCTGGCGACCCGTTCTATACTACTCTTGTCGCCACACTCAGCAATATTTCAGCTAAATGATGGTGGTCTGTAAGTAATAAAGTCTAGACCAGACAATCCAGTGACTGACATCATGTGCATCGATCAAGTCAGCAAGTCTGACCCCCGATCCCGTAAGTCGCCTCTTACGACGTGAATGCTAAAGGCCATTTCTATCCTGGATCTTCATGGGTCACATGCATTTGAGAGGCATATTTTCACATTTAAGGATATTTGGCATCTAAATTATTAACCATATGTATGTCGATGTCCAATCATGTGTTAATGTTGGGATGTCACATACACAAACAAATATGATGAAATAGGATCCTAACTGCCATACTGTCTTCCTCCAGATGTTACGATGCTTGAGTTCAAACGTCCGTCCAAGTTCGAGTACAAGTCGGGGCAGTGGGTGCGGATTGCCTGCCTCACCCAGGGCAAGGACGAGTACCACCCCTTCACCCTCACGTCAGCACCCCACGAGGACACGCTCAAGGTGCACATCCGGGCACTCGGGCCATGGACATGGAACATCCGGCAGACATTTGACGCCCAGACTCTGAAGGACAACCCACTCCCAAAGGTAAGTAACGGACTACATTCACTGTTTAGGACAACAAACTCTTCGACAAAACAAAGTTGTAAGTCTATATTGTAAATATATACATGTATGGTGTGCTCATACACGTACATCAAAGATGGATCAAAATTAACATATTGTAATGTGTTCATTAGTTGGAACAGACAATTCGCTAACAGGTGTATTTTTGGATGGTGGCCCAGTCGTCTAAGGCGCCGCGATTCGCTGTGCAGAGTTGCGTCCCTTGGGCACGCCAGAAACCTATGATTGTGGTTTCGAATCCCGGTTCGCCCCGATTATGTTTCTAGGTTTGTCAGCACCATACCCGTGCTCGTGGGTTTCACCGAAGTGATAAACGTCAGAGACCTGCATCACTTCGGGCTTTCCTCCCACATTAAGCTGACACGCCGCGATATAACTGGAATACTGTTAAAAGCGGCGTTAAACCCAACTCACTCACTCACTCCTTACAGGTCCGCCTTCACATCACAATAACTGTTTAATGCATCTCATTGCTACTGCCATGTCATTGCACATTCTTTTCCATCATCTAAAAAGAGTTGGACGCTCAAGAGTCATATGAACAACAATAATTTTGCTTTTTAAGATGATGCAAGATCTATTAAAATATAGTCATGAGCAAATTGAGGACGTATGTATACAAGCACTCGGATAGTTAAACTGAAACACGTAAATGCACTGTTTCTTCTCATTTGAAATAATGAATGCCTTGAGGTTTTCACCTACTTTCCTCGGTGACATGCAGTATGTTCCTCACTGGTATCTAATACATGCCTCAATGGTATGCAGTACGTTCCTCAATGGCATACAGTACGTTCCTCAATGGTACGCAGTACGTTCCTCAATGGTATGCAGTACGTTCCTCAATGGTATGCAGTACGTTCCTCAATGGTATGCAGTACGTTCCTCAATGGCATACAGTACGTTCCTCAATGGCATGCAGTACGTTCCTCAATGGTATGCAGTACGTTCCTCAATGGTATGCAGTACGTTCCTCAATGGTATAAGGACGTTCCTCAATGGTATACAGTACGTTCCTCAATGGTATAAGGACGTTCCTCAATGGTATACAGTACGTTCCTCAATGGTATAAGGACGTTCCTCAATGGTATAAGGACGTTCCTCAATGGTATAAGGACGTTCCTCAATGGTATAAGGACGTCCCTCAATGGTAAAAGGACGTCCTTCCGTGATAAAGGAATGTAGTGTATATGAGACCCTGAAGTATTAATGAAGACTACTAAGTATGTGAATGTATTTGACTGTCTGTCCGTCTGTCTAGCTGTATCTTGACGGGCCCTATGGTGCGGGACAGCAGGACTGGTACCAGTACGAGGTTTCTGTCCTTGTGGGGGCGGGCATCGGAGTCACACCCTACGCCTCCATTCTCAAGGACTTCGTGCACATGTCCTCTATCAGAAGCATGTACAAGGTCAAATGTCAGAAGGTAAGACACCTATACTGATTTAAACTAGTGGGGCACATACTGGTAGTGGAATTCCGTCGTCAAGTGAACTGATTCTATTCATAATGGTTCGTTGGTTGTACAAATAATATTACCTGAAAAAGGTGTAAAAGGCGACTAACGGGATCGGGTGGTCAGGCTCGCTGACTTGGTGAATTGCGAGGATTGATTTCTCATGATGTCAGTCACTGGATTGTCTGGTGCAGACCCCAGACCATTATTGGTGTAACAAGGATGTGTTCAGCAGGTTCGATTGGACGACATGGTTTATTTGTGTCCACTGGTTCGCTGTATTTAACGTTCTGTTCCATCGGATGACCTGATTTATAGGCGTGCATCAACTGGTTCAATGTATTCACCCACCCTGTTCGATTGGACGACATGGTTTATGTGTGTGTCCACTGGTTCGCTGTATTTAACGTTCTGTTGCATCAGATGACATGATTTATAGGCGTGTATCAACTGGTTCAATGTATTCACCCTGTTCGATTGGATGCAATTGTTTATGTGTGTGTCCACTGGATCAGTTTAGATGAAATGGTGTGTGTGTTACAGCTGTACTTCATCTGGATCACGGGCAGTCAGCGCCACTTCGAGTGGTTGATCGACATCCTGCGGGAGGTGGAGGAGATCGACACGATGGGCATGGTGTCCATTGACATCTTCATCACACAGTTCTTCCAGAACTTTGACCTCAGGACGGCCATGCTGGTAAGTGTCTTCTCACCGATACAGCAGGTGGGCGAATAAGTTTTACGCCGCTTTGAACAGTTTTACTGTCATATCACGGCATGTCAGCTTGATGTGGGAGGAAAGAACGAAGAGATGCTGGTCTTAGACATTTACCACTTTGGTGAAACCGACGAACATGGGTACGGTACTGACAAACCTAGAAACAGATAATGGTTTAACATATTGTACCCATGTGGGGAATCGAACTTGGGTCTTCGGCGTGACAAGCTAACGCTATAACCACCAGGCCCCCCTACCGCCCCTGTATTAATGGTACGTGTCCCTGACAACGAAACTGTTGTAAATTGATATTGTGGTAGATCTACAGGACACTGTGAGCATTGGCACCGTTTCACAGTACCATCCATATGCTGTCTTCAATGGTTGGAAGTCGTGTCCTTAAACAGACGTTCACCATCGCTCAAAGAGATGATTTGTTACATGGGTTATTTTACGTGCTTTTTAGCAAAGACGAAACACACTGATCACCATGTTCAATGTGAAATAATAAGGAGTGAGTGAGTGAGTTGGGTTTAACGCCGCTTTTAACAGTATTCCAGTTATATCATGGCGTGTCAGCTTAATGTGGGAGGAAAGCCCGAAGTGATGCAGGTCTCAGACGTTTACCACTTCGGTGAAACCCAGGGTATGGTGCTGACAAATCTAGAAACATAATCGGGGCGAACCAGGATAAGAACCCACATACATAGGTTTCTGGCGTGCCCAAGGAGCGCAACTCTGCACAGCGAATCGCGGCCCCTCGGACGACTGGGCCACCCGTGCCCCGATATAATAAGGAAATTCACCTGGTATCAAATACGCCATATTTCGTTGATGATGCTGGATGCGTATATAGAAATGGTTAAAAGTAAATAATTGATATTAACATTGGCTTTGTATTGTCACAATTTATAACACCCCCCATGTTTTATCGGGAGAATTTGACAAGATATTGATTGAATGAGTGAGTATTGTTTAACACCGCTATCAGCAATATTACAACAACAAACAATGGGCACAGTACCAATGTCAGGAATCAGACTCCGGTTTTCACACATGGATCACACATCTTCCCGAGGCAAGGGAGTTAACTGACTATAAAAGTCCAGTTTCCACCCTTGCCGAACTAGGCTGGTATTATGGAGTTACATTTTGGCTGGACTAACGACTCTATGCATAGTCCAATCAAAATCGTGCACCGAAATCGAAATCCGGTTCGTAAACTGTCTTGCAGATTTCGGTCGATTGCAGGATTTGCAAAGCATGTACCCCGCCAACTCGTTGTCAGCAGATATTTTCCAAATCTTTTTATGTTTTTAATCAAGGTGCTCACAAGATTTGATGCATTTCGCGATGTAAGACACAATTTATAACAATATAGATCTTGATTATCGATCAGATCGTCCTGACTCGGCGCCACCATTTTGTGTGAAGCAAACGCAAGTGATACGAGAGGTGGAATCTGATTGGTCCATAGGAGAGGCTTAGAAGGGACATAACTGGTAAAAGCCATTGGTGGCGCTACGATCGAGCCCAGTAATTCCTGCCAAGTTCGGCAAGGGTGGAAACTGGACTTTTAAAGTCAGTTAACTCTCTTGCCTCGGGAAGATGGAATCGCAATGTTATACTAGAAATGTCCAGATGATATGATCCGTGATATGATCTCTGTTTCAGTACATATTTGAGGAGCACTTCCAGAAGATGACAGGGGGAAAGAGCGTGTTCACGGGGCTGAAGGCAACCACACACTTCGGTCGCCCTCAACTCAACAAAATCATGAACGCTGTTCACCGCGCTCATCCACAGGTATGACCGGAGCTGATGTGTTTACTTATATAAAAAAAGACAAGTTTGAATAAGTGAGCAAGCGAGTTTGACTGAACAGTATTGTATTTGGGAAACCTTTCAGTATATCAGGGCATGTCAGCATGATGTGGGGGTAAATCCCGAAGTGATGCAGGTCTTAGACGTTTACCACTTTGGTGAAACCCACTAGGATGGGTATGGTGCTGACAAACCTAGAAATATAATCACGGCGAATCTGGGTTTCCAAGAAAACATCCTGGCATGCCCAGGGGACGCAACTCTGCACAGGGAAGTGTGCCACCATGGAGTCAGAACCGCCACTGTCCCTATTTCTAATCATATATTGCTAAAATATGGTGACGGTCAACTGCATGGGTCGTGTATTTCCTTGTGTTTGTGTGATGTGGACGCCCTGTAGACCTGTATGCTTGTGTTCCAGGTGAAGAAGGTGGGCGTGTTCAGTTGTGGACCCCCCGGCGTGACGAAGGGTGTGGAACGGGCATGTGTGGACTCCAGCAAGATGACCAAAGCTTTGTTTGAACACCACTATGAGAACTTCTAGACTCCTTCTTAATAAGAACTTGTCACATGACCAATGTTTTGTAAATTTCACAAACTGATCCTATGGATGATTCAGCCAGGTGCGTAGATAGAGTGTCTTTACACAGTGCCTTGATAGAGTGCCTAAACGCTGAACCATGATAGATAGCTTTGATTCTTTGGCTTGATATAGTGCCTTGATTCTGTACATGCAAACTACCTTGATGCTGTACCTTGATAGAGTGCCTAAACGCTGACCCTTGATAGATAGCTTTGATTCTTTGGCTTGATATAGTGCCTTGATTCTGTACATGCAAACTACCTTGATGCTGTACCTTGATAGAGTGCCTTGATTCAGTATCTTGATAGAGCGCCTTGATGCTGTATCTTGATAGAGCGCCTTGATGCTGTATCTTGATAGAGCGCCTTGATGCTGTACCTTCATAGAGTGCCTTGACACTGTACCTTGATAGGGTGCCTTGACACTGTACCTTGATTGTGTGCCTGGATGGAGTACCTTGACAAAATGCCTTGACGCTCTGCCTTGAGTGCCTCACCAGTGTGTCTTCATGGTGTATCTAGATATGCCTGGCTTTGTACTACTTGGATTTCACCTCCAGGTACATATTACTGCGAGTACTGGTAAACTGATGCATTGCTGTAAACATGAGATTGACAAGGCTGGACAGCCATACTGTGATAAGCCGATGTGATAAGCCGCCGTGATGCCTGTATTTATAAGCATGGCGACACATGTGGTTTCCTTGATGTTGTTACGATGTACATAACACCTATGTTGTTATATTATAATTATGTCTTTGATTATATTTGTATAAACATTGTCTATCCATGATACATTTTTGTAAGAGTTTCACCCCCCCCCCCCCCCCCCCCCCCCCCCCCACTCTGTAATGGCAGAGTGAGAGTCATGGCACGTACCTCCGCATCTTCCTGAGGCAAGGGAGTTAACTTACTATAAAAGTCAAGTTAACTCCCTTGCCTCGGGAGGATGGTACCTCCGGGTCGTTAGCCATGCACAACAGTCTCAATCACAATTTCGGCCCCATTAACTGGCATGTATATATCATACAAAGTTTCTAGTATACTATAACATTTAGCCAACATCTAACGACCTCCATCAAGAAACTACCGAATTTACAGATGCCTGCAAAACGCACGATTTGAACGCAAGATGGCGTCGGCAGATGACTGGACTAAACTGTTTCTTAGATTCTGTAGCACTTCCACTGTGGACTAGATCTATTGTCCAAACGTAGCAAAGTATTAGTGAGTGGTTTGATGACCCGTTTAGCAATAGTCAAGCCTTATCACGTCAGTGTATAACAATGATTAATAGCATGTTATATCACGCACTGACATTCCCAAACTGTGTTCGGTGCAGAATCACTGGTGTAGATTTGTTGTCAAGGTGTAATATATCATAATGTTAAAAATTCAATGTATATGATCTGTATATAAATTTCAACATCAACATTAATTGTTCCTGTGTACATTTATCACGTTGCATAACATCATAGTTCAAATGAAAAAGGGAATAAAGGTTTCTAAATAATCAGTAGTGTCTTCAGACTCCTTGAGAAACACGCAAACCAATCTGTACCTTCGCTGCAAGTATCCTACTCAGAACAAGTTAAAGAACACCCACTATTTTGAAGTTATTTTTGTTACAATACCCACCAGCCATATGGTCAGTCATGATACAATGGGGTGTTCTTTAACTTCTTTTGAGCAGCATATACTACTCAACTCTTGATAGGAATAATCAGTTATGTCAAATATATTTAAATAATAATTGTTTACAATTTCCTGTCTTCTTTTACACTATACGCACAATACATGTAATTAAATATCCATTACTCAATAGAACATTAATAATGGGCCTATTGACATGAACAGCTTACTGACATTAGTGGAATACATATACGATATAATGATAGCTGACAATTTCTATGAAACATTTATAGGCTATATCATGTCACAATTTTGAACATTCAGATCATTTAAGCATTCGTTTCAACATCGATTGCAACAATTTCAAACCTGAGTGACTTGTTACTATTTACCCCCGTGGGAACTCCCGATTTAATGGATCGGGTGATCTGGACCGGTGACATAGCTGATATCGTATCATCCCTACGGTACCCCCAGGGCGTGAGTCGTTGTTCGTACTATTACGTGTCCGCGCGCACACACACACTCTGCTACCTCAATAGAAGCCCATTAAAATATATCCATTGGAATCAGAGTTGATCAAATAACCTGGACTCCACTATGTAGTAACCAAAAAATAGCGTACAATTTGCACTAACAGTGGTTCTGTTGTCAGCAGTTTAACTGACTCTGCAGAAACGGCGGCCATCTTTGTTTGAAGCCGAGACTTAAATGTCTTGCTCTTCCTCAGTTATATCCGATCAATAGGAAGATGAACCCAACTGCGATGCAAATACAACAAGAGTTTGTCACTAACGTGGCTATATCCCCCGCCCCTGTTGCAGAACTTATGACATAATTAAATCTAAACAAACCCTAACCTTTTTTAACCGAGGTGGAACTTGTCATGGAAATTGTAAAAAAAAACCGAACCCTACCCTCACAGAACCTAAGTCCATCTTGTTGCCATGGAAACGTAAAAAATAAAAATTTCTAAAATTTCTCAATAGCAAAAGGCACTAGTTAAGCATGTACCTGACAGACCTGCAAAGTTTGATGAAAAAATATTGAACGGTTTATGAGTTATGCTCCGGAAACGAAGCGTGACGGACGGAGCCCGTTTAAATATCCCCCGCCAACTTCCAAAAACAAGGTTAACATGAAAAGGAGGACGTGGTCATTGTAACTGCTACAAAGTGTTTGCATCCTGACGTAGAAGGAGTTTTGTGGCTCACTAGAGAGATAAAAAGGATATCCCTGAAGTAGAGTAGTATAGTATGAGTGCCTAACTGTTAAGTAAAGTTACAAGCAAACACAATGAGGGCGCAGATTCAGCAATCGAGACACACTTTTCATCAAAATAATCTATTTTCAAAGCCAATAAGAACAGAGTGAGTGAGTAAACCGCTTTTAGTAATATTCCAGCAATATCACGACAGGGGACACAAGAAATGGGCTTTGCACATTGTACCTATATAGGGAATCGAACCTGCGTCTTCGGTGTGAGGAACGAACGCTTTAACCACTAGTCTTCTCTCCCGACCCAATTAGTGAGTGAGTGATTGAGTATGGTTTTACGCCGCTTTTAGCATTATTCCAGCAATATCACGGCGGGGGACACCAGAGATGGGCTTCACACAATGTACCCATGTCGGGAATCGAACCCGGGTCTTCGGCGTGACGAGCGAACGCTTTAACCACTAGGCTACCCGACCGCCCCCCGCCCCAATTAAGAACAGAACTAACAATTCAGTTATTTAATGCCAGGTCAAAGACAAATGAGCCATGAGACAGTAATGGAGGTGCATAAGCTTGGGCAGAATACAATCTCAATGTTTGTAGTTTAAGGTAAGTGGTTTGGGAACATTTCAACTATATTCTGCTTAACTCCAAATCACTTTTGCGCCAAATCAGAATCGGATTCTCTTACAAAGTTATTGCAGGAGGAATGCGAAACCATAGGTATCACGGACCAGTATACTCTCAACGCAGAGCAACATATCGCTTGGATACTGCAGCTACTAAGGGGGGCAACTCTTCATGAGACTAAAACGACAACCGTGTCTCAAATTGGAAACATATGCGATGAGTCTAGTCTGTTGTTTAACGCCGCACTCAGCAATATTCCAGCTATATGACGGCGGTCTGTAAGTCTGGACCAGACAATCCAGTGATTGACAACATGAGCATCAATCCACGCAACTGGCATCGGTGATATGCATCAACCAAGTCAGCGAGCCTGACCACCCTATCTCGCAATGAGTCTAGTAGATAGAGCTGAAGGTCTGTGGTTCGATTCCCGGTCGCGTCATACCAAAACACGTTAAAAGGACTTGTCGGTTTGCGGTCATTATGCTGTCTGACTTGGGTGGTCTCGAACTATAAAACTGGCATTAGTCCAGACTTGTACAAGCAGACACACACGTGTATGCACGTCGCCATGTAAGCGCAATAATCTTGAAGCGCAATGTTCAACCCCATTTTACCTCACCACCTACCACATCAAGTCATCAGAACCAAACTGTTACAGTAATAGCATGTGGTGAGTTTCTGATCCTGGTTAAAACAAGTGACTATCAGGAGCAAGTGTCATCTTCCTGAGTCCAGATGGAGGATAAATCTGACTGGATGCTTGGAGGTGGTTATTTGGGCATGTTAGCTTCATTTCAAAAATTATTGGACGAGAGCGTAAGTGAGTGCAAGTACCTCAATATCGCAGTAGGTATTGTGTGCACAGCAGGTGTTTGTGTTCAGACGCTGGATGAAAAGATGTTGATCTTTGTTGTTTACAGGCTTTACCTCCCTCCCAAATGACAAAATGAGTCCTAAATTCAGTCATGTGTGAATCTGAACAATACCACTTTGGGGACAACTTATCTAAATGTTTACATTTGTTTGTTATGAAATGAAGCCTAACATGCACCAGGTCCAGCCCAAATCGCATCCAGGGAAGGTCTTGAGCCATGTCACATCCTTTGTCACAAGCTGTGAGGTCCAGCCCAACTCATGTGCTATTCGTACATGTCCAAACAACCAGTCGGATGGATGTATCCTATCAAGACACTCCCTATCACATGTTGAGTAGCATGCATTAGTAACCAACGTTACACAAATGAAACAATGTCGGATAATAATGGTCACATTGAACTGTGCATCAGGTGAATGTTCAAACGCATGATGCAGTTTCAGAATTTCTTGGAAATAGCTAACGATAAACCTAATACAAACACATTGCTAGTATTCATACAAACGCTTTATTTCTTGTGGTTCAGTCCCCATCTGTAGTTTTTCCTGTCATCAGACTTGCAGTGTAACAAGTTATATTACATAATTATTAACCAAGAAACTATTTTTAATAATTTTTATTCACAAATTTTCATAATTCATACAAAAAGGACAACTATGTACCACAGTGCCTCTGACCAAGTCACATGATCTTCCCAATTAGAGCTGTTTTCGGGGCATGCTACGTTTCAAAATATATACTCAAGTGGTCAACAGTCAGTGTACTTATTGTGGGAACAGTGTGCAGGAAGTGCACAAAACCCTCAAAATAGAGGATTTGCATAACAAAAAGAATGGATAAATATTGTAACACAGGGTATAATGGCTAATATTGTGACTATTTAACATACATACATTTCATGTGATGGAACCATATAACAGAGTATTATATGAGTTTGATGTTGGCGTCAATCACAAAGAAAACAGAACTGACAGGTAAGTAAGAGCCAGGGAGTCGGCGGCTAATCAAAGGATGACATCACATAGAGGATAAAAATGGCCACCACCATAACTGAACACAAAATACTGAAACATCAAGAAACGGGTCTAGCAATGCTTGTTTTAATTCACAGCAACTGACAAGCTGAGAAATATTGTGTTTGTAATAAAGAAAAGTCTTTACTAGACATTACATTCTGAAGGCTTCAGTACCTGTAATGAACTGCTGCACCTCGTGTAGGCCATGTTTTACATGCTAGCTTTGACACTGGCTCGGACATGTTGACGGTGATGGGATGCGAGATGCAATGTCGTTGGGAGGTATCCCTATGTTGTAATAGATCTCTAGCATGATCTGGCAATGTTTCCAATGTCTGAATATGATCTCTGAATAAGATGACTGTTTTCATAATGTTTATTTACACATTCCAAATCGGATGAATGTCAAACTCCACTGAATTAACATACATGAAACAAAACATGTCACAAATAGACAACTGATGGTTCACAAACAATATCACCAATGATGAGGAACTTTTTTCTTTCGATATTTCGAAAGTTTGTAACAAGTTTCGAAGGCCACAGAGTTGCTGCTTGTGTGGAGTCATTACTGGGCCCATGGTTGGGTGGAGGACCTTACAAAAATATACTAACATAATGAAATGATAAAACAGCCATCTACACGTTCCAGGCACAGTATCAAACACTCCTCTGTAGGGGCAAATATTTACATCTGCAAACGACAGCTGGTACCAGACCTGTGTTATGTAATATATCTGCTGTGAAAGATTGAACACTGTTATAAACAATACATTTGCTGTTCATTTTATACCAGGAACGTGCAGGACAGAGGTATTTTACACTGACAATTGTTGGGTATATGCAATGATCATCATCAACACCCTCAAGTGATTCCACTGGCCATAGACATACACAAGTATTTCAAGTCATGAAGAATTCAGAAAACTGACAATCTTTGGCAAGATAAATACACTGATCAATTATTATTGCAGTCTTATTCCATGTTGAGGCAGACATTCTTCAATAACATATTTCCTTTTGTCATGTCGAAAACATTTCAGTACACAAGTCTTGTAACAAAAACTATACATACAGAATAATCAGACTTACCGGTAGTTAGTTCATTAAAAATTGTCGAACATGTAACGAGATATTATAGTAAAAGATTTATCAAAACCTAATACTAGTTGACACTGGTAGACACAGGGCAAACATGTGACAATCTCTCTAAAGATGCAAAGCATGAACTCAACATTGGACTGAACGACCAGTCTGCAGCAATCAGAAAGTCCTCTATGATAAAAGCCTCCATAACATAGTACATGAGCAATGACCAAATTCGTGAAGGAGAGTTGGGTGAAAATGAGTCCTTCTGAACGAACTCATGAATATTCTCTGATGACTTGTTGCCATGGTAATCACACATGTACATATACAGCAAAACAAGAACTGCGTAAAGTCAGGATATTTCCACTCATTCAGAGACTGTCCAGTGAAACACCAAGATGTCACCATTTCTCAGCATTATATAGGTCATACAAGTTTGAGGATTGAATCAATCATATTTTGACCAATACTAACAGGGAGACACCGATGAGGAAGTGAATGACTGTAGCACGACTGCCAGGAACCTTGTCGCGGCAGGCAGGCAGGCAGACCTGTGTACAATGTCACAGTGTCAACATGCAGTCATGGCAGACTTGAATCAAAGCAAGAGATCCCTGGTGCATAGCTGCAGATCTGTCCTCGTATCCATCATGCTTGTACCCAACATTAATCATCCTCCTCGTCAGATTCTGAAAAAGCAAAAGATATCAATTGGATCAAATAGTCCCAGTGTGAGTGAGTATGGTTCCACACAGCACTAAAGCAATATTCCAGACTGGGGACACCAGAAATGGGCGTAACACATTCTACCCATGTGGGGAGTCTAACAAAGGTGATGCACTTACTCCTCTGCCCAAACTGTCAAGTCCAAACAATGGAATAGTCAGGGTAGAGGTGTTTTATAGGGATGTCACTGTGTACTGCAATATCATGTATCAGTTTATTTTATTTATCACTGATGCTTTGTTGATAGCAATTTATGAATATCAATACTAAATTAATAATTCACTTCCACAGAAATGTCTACATTTTTTAAGATTACTGTGGTTAAGATGGGCAATGAGAACTCAACCATAACCATTTAATGGATAAGCTTAGTTCATAAATAGCATTAAATTGATTAAATGCGGGTCTACATATACATTTTTCATCTATACACATACAGAATAACTCATTTAATTACAGATTGATACCTTGTGATACTTGAGTCGATATTCTGATTCTAAATGTTCCCATCAATAAAACATGTGTTTTACCTTCTTCAGCATTCTCAAGCCATTCTACAAACTTCTTCATCTGCTCAAGGAAGGTGCTCTTGCCCTTGGAAGAGTGACCTCCCTTGTACCACTTCTGAATAACATCTTCACTGAGCACTTCCTCTGCAAGACAAAGAAATATGGTATGCTGTCATAGCATGTAAAATACGGGAATGTCAGGTTTGTCCACACCATCAACTACAAAAGGCCATTTTATTCTTAATTTGGAACTTATTCCAGTCAGACTGGCTGGTCTTAAAATGAATACCTGAAGAAGGCTTGGTGCCATTTAGATCAATACTGATGACAGATGAACCAGCAGATCACCAGTGTTTTGTTTGTTTTTTGTTAAACGCCCCACTCAGCAATATTCCAGCTCTATGAAGACAGTCTGTAAATAACCGAGTCTGGAACAGCTAATCCAGAGATGGATATCATGAGCATCGAAAGACACAATTGGGATACGATGACATGCATCAACCAAGTCAGCGAGTCTGATGACCTGATCCCCTTAGTCGCCTCTTACGACAAGCATAGTTGCCTTTTTTGACAAGCATGGGTTGCTGAAGACCTATTGTGCCATCATTGACAGAAAGACTGAAGACCAAAGGGGATTAATCACTGAAAGTCCTAAGATCCACAAAATAATCTATGACTAAAAAATGACTGTCATATTGTGTATCATTTTAGTGTTGATTTCTTCAATACACTTGAGAAATCAAGTGTTGTAAATTTTCACTTTGTTTTTTCCATTCTTGCTAGAAGTAGGGTGTGCAGACAACTTACTGTCATACAAGAGGACAACAATCTTCTGGAAGGATTTCATGAAGTTCATGTTTTCGTAGCAGTATTCCTGGATCCTGAGAATGAGTGCCAGCTGGGATTTGCCCGACTTGGATACCGCGGCTAGGAGTGGAGCATATGTGGCCAAGTGCTTCAGGGCCTGCTCCGTTACCAGCTCGTCCTTCTTGTTCCACTCAACGGAACCCATCACAATGATCCACACCTGGAGACACAAAACAGGATTGGAGACAACCCACAACTCACATACAAAACTACACAACTTGCCCAAACACATTTTACATATATTATATTGGGCAACTAAATTCATCACAACTGCTGTGGTGTCAAATACTGTCACTAATTGTTCAAGAAACTGGCCCCATGTTAATTTAAGCTGCAGTCAGCACAATTCAAGCCATACCATAGTGACCTGTTATAGAATCAAACGAAAAGATAGAATGATTTTGATCAGTGAGATTACACACCAGGGGTTTAAGTACACGCTGACATGTTTAATCAAGGAAATATTGTATACATGACATACATGAATGTGTGCTTGGCTGCTTATACTCATCCAGACTAATGCCAATTTTATAGTACTAGCCCACTGAGATGCCATGCCGCAGTTTAACATGGATACCCACTCTTGACACAGTATACCGACTCCGAGCCGACCAGTCCTTGTTTTCTCTTCTTAATGACGCGCAAAAGACAGAGTAATAACAATTACAATTTTTAACCTCTATGGGTTTCTTGAGGCCAGGGGATCGAACAATGATGTTCAATCATACTAGATGTTAAATCCACTTGATAATGGAGGCATCTCGCCATCAAGGACCTATATTCCTGTCTTTGACAGGTCAAAATAAATAAGCTTAACTGACTGGTAGTCCACCTGTAGCATGTTAAGCGTACTTACCAGAATCACCACCTCCTGCTCTGGGATACCATTCTTCTGCATCTCTTCAAGGACATAGGACCTAATCTGTAAAGCAACAATTTAAGTAGCATGAAAATGACAATCAAAAAGACCTCACCATAACAACATGCGGAGGGTAAGGAGACAACTCGACCTTAGATTAACTGCTTGACAACCACAACTGAAACTACTGTATGGTGTCGAGTGTTTCATTGAATAAACCAATCTCTTTATATACAAAACATTTCAGTGGCTGCCAAGATTTTGAATTGAGAAGATTTGCTCAAACAAGAAATTCCATTTGCGAGGTCATCGACCATAAAGTTTGCACCACGAGCTAGATGTCTGACGTACCTCAGCTGCTGGCTGCTGCTCTCTGATCATATCGTTCATCTCCTGTTGGAGCTTCTTCTTTGTCTCTACAGCCTCCTGCTTTACCTGCATTATAAAGCAAGAGTGAGTTGTATTTCAACAATGACTAAAAAATATTGAAATCAAATGTTACACAAGGGAAGCGTAGGTGGTGAAGCCCATGACCTTAGGTATGATGTTGACACGATAAGGAAAACCAAGGATTCAAACAAATTAGCAGCTCATCAAGGAACAACAAAAAGGAGGCAACTCTGACGAGCCAAGTGTAATGCCCAAGACAGCTGGACCAATGGGAGCTATTCTGTGACCATGGGTGAAGATAATGCAAGTCCATACCTGCATTTCAGCAATAACTGCCAGGTCAGCATTCCGGAAATATGTCGAGAAGACATCTTGATTCCTCTTATTGATGGGAAACAGTTCCTAGAACAATCGAGAACAGAACATTATTTATAGTCAAACAAACAGTACTGACAGTGTGATACAGATGACTCTTGTATTGTTACTTCTCAGATCTTCCGATTATGTCATACTACAGTTACTTGAAATGATGCATACAGCACCTACCATCAAACGTGAGTCGATCTGGGACTTCTTCAGTGTGGAGAACACTGAACTCAAATCTCGTTCCCCGAGCCAGGTTTTAAACATTACCGTGGAGAATTCCAAAGAGAGACCTGCAAAAAAAGACACAATGTTAAAGAAATCTAGAATACTGTACCCAAAATAATGTAGATATTATGATACTGTATTCCAACAATGCATGCCTAACAATAGTCTGGGATTGATCAAGGATTTGAAGCTGAGTGGCAGGCAAATTGGGCAGGGGAAAAAGTAATCAATATCTTGTTAAGCAAGAGTCATCAGAAGATGACAAATCCCCCCAGCCCCTACGAATTTGAAAGAACAAATCATCTGACTGTCATTTTAAGTCCAACTTGAGAGAATTTCTCTTATTTGCCTGTATACAAGAGTAGTTAATGAGCTATCAAAACAATACCATGGAATTGGGATTCTGAACTTTGTATTTCTATTTCAGGTACACACCACTATGAACAGGGTAATAATCTGTTGCTATGGAAGCTGGAAAAAAATACAAATTCAAAACACCCCTAAGTAGCAAAAGGCATCATTTGACAACCTGGTCTAAAGTGTGCAATGTGTCATGAGTTGGGGTGAAATTGGGTTTAACTTCACATCCAAGATTATTGCACTTATATAGCGACATGCATGCGTGCGTGCATGTGTCTGCTTGTACTAGTCTTGACTGATGCCGATTTATAGTGCTAGCCCACTGAGATACCATGCCGCAGCTTAACATGAATACCCCACTCAGACACAGCATACTGACTCCAAACCGACCAGTCCTTGTTTTAGCCCCTTTACGTCGTGCACCACTGGGTAACAACAAGTACCATCTTTTAATATCTTTTGGTATGATGCGACCAGGGATCAAACCCCCGAAATCATGAAAGATTACCTCCTAGTTTTAGAGATATGGTCTTGACAAACACACCACTATAAACAGTCAAAGTCAAACATGTTGCCACAGAATCAGAAAAAATTGAGATTTTTTAACACTGTAGTTAATAATGTATAGTTAGGCATTACAATTTTACTTTTTACCAGTAATGAGAGTGAAATACAAGTCACATCAGTCTCTACAAAGTCATAACATTAGTTATGACTGTAAGGAAATATGAACATGATAAATTAGGAATTCCTGTCCAATCATGTGAGGATAATGTACTACTTGTGACTACATACCCTCCTTGACCAAGTGGTCCTCGAAGAGGCTGGCAAGGACCCGTGCTGTGCACAGGCCATTTGCCAGCAGGAGGCTAGTGATGATTGCCAGCTTGCGACGTTCATCTTCAGTGAAGCCTTTCAAGAACACAAGGATCTTCTTCAAACTGTCCTCGAATGCTTTCTCCAGGTACTTGTAGCGACGAATCAGCTTGTAGAACACCTGAAAACCACACGTTTAGACAATCATAAACAAAACGTATGTCACACATGACAACTTTCAGAAGATGAACACACTGTCTGAATGATTAAAACATTAGTTCAACAAAGGGAACACTGCTGTGAAAGTGAATTCAAAGAGTCCTCTGTTTATTTTTTTCTTACAGGGACTGTTTATAAACCCAATATAGGAACTGATCTATGAAAACATCGAGTTTCTCAAAAACAATCGCTAAACAACAGCTTCTTGGCAACAAGTTGTTTGCTAAATGTCATGCTCTGCACTTAACATACTTAATGGTGATCTCAGTGAACAACTGTGTAAATTACACTTTATCATCTTGGCACATCACTGCCAGGTTTAGAACAAGCCAACAATGCAATAGTGCTACGTTTAGCCATGAAATATAAGCAATGGTTACTCCATCTGGCGAACATTCAATACTCATGACGATACCTACCTCATAGAAGCTCTTCTGCTTTTCAACGTTTTCTTCAGTGGAGAACACGGAAACATTAGTGCGTGATGGCTTTTCTGGGTCAGGATCTTGCACGACAAATCCACCTGGAGCTGCAACATGTGTAAGGAACCAGAATATGTACATATGTACACTCAAACTGGACAATCACCTAACTTGTTCAGATGAGAAAACACAATATCAAGGGATATCTTTTGGCATTTCCAATATTCATACAAAGTTTGCTATTTCTTCAACATACTGACTTTGGCCTAAACAACAATTATGTTGTCCATATATGAGTACCTTAGAACGAAGAACTATACATCAAGTTTGACAAAGTTTGATAAATAAAAGAATTTCCCTGTGATGTTAATCACTTGTCATAAATGATGTAAAGGAAGTTTACCTAATTGTCCACCAGCAAAGAGAATATCAAAGAGCACATCAGCGTAGCGGCGATAGTTGAGTCGGGAGCCAGAAATGTCAAGAAACTTAGAAACCTGGAACAAAGTCAAAGCATGCAGAGATTCAGAAGTGAACTGGTAGTTTACCCTGGTCACAAATACAGTTTATAGCCAAATCAGATATTGCCATCAGTGAGTGCAAGAGGGCCTTTTGTCAATATAAATTGTGTTTACACATTCATATGAGTTAGTTTTAGGAATCACTTAAAATATCATGACCAATCATCGCTATGAAGAATGGTTGATGTTTTGGGCCTTCTTTGTGTTCTGATTTGTTGCCTAGGCTGCCAGACACATATGAACATGAAATCAAGTATTATATAATCACAAATAAGATATACCGACATCTAACGTTTGCAAGCTCAAAAACTCAACAAATAACTCATTATAACATGCATGATGGACAATGATAGCCTAACACGTCAAAGTTTACTACCTACCACAGAACTTCACAACCATGGGGATTCAAGCAAAGCTTCTACCATGTTAACATACTACTGCCATGTGGCCAGTACCTAACACAAGTAAGACGCCCATCACATTCACCAGTTCCATGTATACATCTGCCAACAACTCAGCTGCTGGATGCTCACCTTTTCTAGATCTCCCTCAGTCTCATCAAGCCCCTGGATAATGGTGTCTCGAAAAGCCGTAGGGTCGTACTTTTCTTTTTCATCTGATGAACAACAGTATTCACATGAGATTTTTGGCAACATTATAAGGTTGTAGTCTAGTGTAGGATGTACAAATTACCTATCTTCCACTTTCATCACGCTCATTATGGAGGTGTACAAAACATAGGATAGCACAGGCAACAGCCATATCAGTGATTGAAAGTTACCATTCCCCACACCCTGGCCAGTGACTTTTACAGTGAGTGAGTGAGTGAGTGAGTGACTATGGTTTTACGCCGCCTTTAGCAATTTTCCAGCAATATCACGGCGGGGAACACCAGAAGTGGGCTTCACACATTGTACAATCAAACCCAGGTCTTCGGCGTGACGAGCAAACACTTTAACCACTAGGCTACCCGACCGCCCCCAGTGACTTTTACAACTCATGTAAGCTAGTGTCACTATCCGAAGGTCCAGTGTCAGCTGAAATTTAACAACTACTGTATAATATGGGTTATTGGGTTTTAAAATTATAATCTCACGGAGATAGGTGGTTGGTCAATAAACATTTTCTAGGAAGTCCTTTGCCTTTAACACGTCTAAATATGGCAAGGAACTGGGAACAGTTAAGTATGTCAAGGTTTTATTAAATCTTTCACCTACATTTTCTTTATTATTTTTTTTTTTGGGGGGGGGGGGTCTGAAGAGACCAGAAGTACTGGAAATGTATCCCCACTTGTCCTGTGTACAGTACAACTTTTTGAATATTCAATCCCTGCATATGTGCTACTGCCTTATGCTTGATAGCTTTTAATAAATCTTGTTTTACTACTAAAATAATTTCAGTACTATTAATATCAACATCCATAACAATTACCCAGTCTGTGATTTTAGCCACTTGTCCATAGCCCGACAATTTTGTTCAGGCTAGTAAGGTCTTAACCCCAAATGATGGATATCAAACAAAGATAACTACTTACCCCTTTTCCGGGTTTTCAGACGGGTGCCTGATAGTGTTGGTTTTTCTGCCTTAGTAGTCATATAACTTCTGCAAATACACCGATAACTTCCTGTTTAAACATAGTCACAGATTAGAAATGGAGCAATCAAACCAGAAATGTTGGATAAATCAGAATTCATTATCACAGTGCATCAGATAACATGGTGAAGAATTTCAGACTCATACTTTGTATTCAGGCATGGTCTTACTGGGGATCACCTACGACAAATAGAAGTTAACATTCAATACATAGTCTGGAGCAAGCCAGTATTGGTAAAACGTCCCAAATTGAAATTTCTGATTCATGTTTTCATAATTACTAGTGTTTCTTCATTCATGAACACCACTTGCATAATCAGAAACACACTCTATGTTACTTCCTTAAACAGTCTTTAAAAGTATCCTCATAAAACATATATAAACATGCAGGTAAAGTGTATTGGCAAATTCGTGATTATGATGGTGATACAATATGTATCACTTTGGGAATAATGCTTTGTCAGCATGATCACTAACCATGATGACAAAGGTTATCAATCACTTGTTGTATCTTACTTTAATCTTAACAATTAAAATTATCTGTCCCCCATTCCTATTACTCTATCAGGTTCAGCGACATCAACATGATCAAAGTGCCAGCTGATACTTGAGCTGTGAGGTCAAATTTCTCCCTTTCACTAAAATGCTTACTATGCTTAAGTCAAAATATTGTCAAAGTGACTGTCAAAAGTGTGCTGGTAGTAATACCATAATGACACATAACATTTGGGGAGTTGGCTGTTCAACTTTCGATCCATATAAGTAAGAAAAACAACATTTTTACTTTCAGTTTTTTGTAAATGCCTTTTATAACTTCCATGAAAAAACAGTCTGAAAAGTTCAAATATGTCCATGTCAATTTAAATTAAACACGATTCAAAGATAGGTAATACTATTAACAAGATTCACGATCACATGATGAAACTTTTCAGGAAACGTTAATTTCAGGTCGCTGAAACATCATTTAAGTTTGCACCCTCTTCACTTTTCAGTCACAACATGGCCACGGACAAGCAGCCATGACGCGAAACCACGCACATTGCATCAAGTTGAGTAATGTTCGCACACAGGAAGCTTATGTAAATAATCACTGACTTTCATCTTACAGTACAGTCGATATATTAGAGGTCTGACATAAATTCGTGTCGACTTGTCGTACAATTTACACATAACTGATAATTGAAAGTCTCCTTACGTTCGATACAGCCTGTTCTTTCGACAAGAATCGGTTTGAGGTCAAATCTCGTAGCGTAACGCAAGTTCTCGTGATGAATCGGTGCCGCATATACTACATCTAGACAACTAATCAAGTACCGTGATGCAGATGCATGACATTCCGATGATTTCAATAAAAGAGCTGCAACTGTCGCACCTACCACTGGTCAACATCAGCCAGAAGACATGTGCATTTATTTATTTTAGAATGAAAACAAAATGAAATGTTAAACTACACCAACTCAATATTATATATATTATCACAAACAGGCTAAATGGCCATGTGTTGATTCAGATTGACACGTCGAAGATGAGTCATTCAATGAGAAGGCATGTTGAGTCGTAGCGTGTTCATATGATTTATGCAATGTTCATGAGACCTCATTTTGAATATGTGTGACAAGTTTGGGAAGGTTGTACCAGAGGGCAGAGTGACAGATTAAAACAAAACAACTTCACCTTCCTTAGATAGGCATTACTTAGACAGCCTTGCTTGATAACGGTATAAGGGCTTAGTGTTCATTAGATTGACGTTTAACGCCGCACACGGCAATATATTTCAGTTAAATTAAAGGCCTGTAAATAGTTAGTCTGGACCAAGCAAACCAGTGATTGATATAATGAGCAACGCCCACGCCGTTGGGTTATGCTGATACACAACTAGCCAAGATACCAAGCCAGACCTCCCCGATCTATTTAGCCGCCTTTTACGAACATCATGTAGCTATAGGTTGTTAGGAAACTATCCTAACCAGAAATCCACCTGGATTGTATCGTGGAATGAATTACCAGTGCATCAAAGAAATATTTAAACCTTTCGTCTATTTAAATCTGCACATATAAATCTATCTGGTCACATTTGACATTAGGTCAGGCTTAGTTTAAAATCTAGTGTACAAATTCGCCGATTCCAAGAAAATGAAATGTGAAATAAACACTATTTGTTTTATCATTATTGGGCAGACCCCCAGGCTCTAAAAACAATATTGAACCTCATTTACTGTCGCTATCAATATGAATAATGTAAAAATTGTAGTTTTCTCATATTTTTTTTCTCGAATTACCGATAAAGTCCGTAAACCAAACAAAATATAAAAATGTCAGAATAAGTATGTATAAGATTATATATACATCATTCAGACATGGTGGTAAATAATGTTGTAAAATTTACGTCGTTCGGGTAAATATATTTACACATGTTTTTAAACACAAACATTTATTTATATCTCATAAGAATATAATATAATCTAAGTAAGTAAAAAAGTATGTCATTTTTATTTCATTTGGTGTTTGCAGAAAACTTCAGATACCAGAACTTTCTGGCGCTGCAGCCTCAGGAACAAGACGACAACCTGTCCGGCATCAGTGATACAGGTGGACGACACGTACAATAAAGGGAAAAACCGCTACTGCTTATGCGAACCTAATATATATTACTACATTAATCGTTGTTATCGTTATTAAAAATAGAGGTGCCGTTTTCGCCCGAGAAATCGGTGATGTTTTGCTGAGGTGCCGTTTTAGCCTGCACCCTAATGTTGATACGGACTTGAATATAGAGGGTAATGCAGTACATTATTGTGTGAACGAAATCGTTTGTCTGCATAATTTGAAAATTGGACATTAAAAATGAACAATTATGAGTTTCAGTAAACAAAATATTAGTACCACTGTTCGTTCTTAGGGTAATAGTAGCACGACCGCTCGCTGGTTTGGTTGGTCACGTGACTCGAAATTGACATCTCAAAATGGCCGCGCACATAGGCCGACTCGTGCGTATCGGCTGTCATCAGGTCAATGCCCTTTGCATGCTTTTTTTAATGTTGAATACTTTGTATGACATTTTTTCGATAAACAATGCCCCTTTCCTTCTCATTCGAGAACGTGGATTTCTTGTGGAGGTCGCCGCGATCGTGGGTACAGATACCCCTGTTTTCGTGCACTTGTTGCACCATCCTTTTCTTGTCAGCTGGTAATTATTACCTGTCTAATGCGAAGTAAAGACAACAATACACTTTCCCGGGCGTAGGGCTAATTGGCTCTCGCTTCACAGGTCCCACGTGCCTCTTCGATCCTTAGGGTTGGTTAGTTGTGTTAGGGTTGGATTATCCCCAAATTGGGCCAACTCTGTCCTTAGCCCTTGGATCCACTTTCGATAATACACGCCTTTACGATCATTAGGTTAGGTACCCCTTTCCGACCAAACACCCCTTCACGATCCTTAGAGTGGGGTTATCTCTTTTAACGAATTAATCAAATGTAATTTGAAGAAACTCCGTAAATCTTTATCAACGTTTCGATTTTTGAAAAGAATTGAGTGAGTGAGTTTGGTTTTACGCCGATTTTAGCAATATTCCAGCAATATCACGGCGGGTGACACCAGAAATGGGCTTCACACATTGTACCCATGTCGGGATTCGAACCCGAGTCTTCGGCGTGATGAGCGAACGCTTGGCTGGCCGACCACCCCTTTTGGCAAAGAAAATGACTAGGATAGACAATCAGGTGTTGGTAGACAATCAGGTGTTGATGACTTGGTAAACAAGCACTTATTATTTGTGATAGCGCCCATGGTAAAATGTTGGCTAGTTGGATTAAGTCATTAGCAAAGCATAGCTTCAAGCTGTCAACGTGAGTTCAATCCCCAGTGCTGGCTGACATAAAAAAAAGTGTGCCCAGTAAAGTGCACTGCTCCCGGAGTATGTTCCACCAGTGTCAAGATTTCAGTTGACCAAACTAGATAGTGCTATATTGCTGATCTAACATACCTTTTTATCCTCATGGTTAGTTTGGGCTTGGGGATGGATAGCCCTTCACAATCCCTAAACCCCTTTTGGTGAGACAACCTTTTCCGAATCCGTAGTGTCAGGTAGCCCCAATGATTGGGGTGAGGGGTCCACCTCTTTTAATAATTTTTCTATAGATATTCAAGTCTTACCCAAGGTAAATCCACATATGTTTTATAAAGTTTCAAGTTTCACAGTAAAAGTGACCATGACAGTGCATCAGTCTACAATGACCCACGCTAAAACCGCCCAATATTAATTTGCAAAAAGATACCTACATTTTCCAAAACTGTCCCATTAATAACAATTAGGAGATTATTAAAGGATCCCAGTTCAGAAAAGCGTCTAAGAACTCCATTCTTCCTGAAAGAGACGACTGAAAAGGGTTTGAGTATTTACATCAAGATTTGAAGTGGGTCCAAGTTCAAATACATCATGGGATTTGTTCAGAACATGCCAGGAAATTTGGTCAAAATTTCTGGTCAAAATAGTGTCACTTTAAAAAAACTTTAACATGTTTACTTAGTAATGAATTTAATTAAAATCATGTTTAAATACCTTCAGAACTAGAAACACATATTTACTCTTTAGTCTTCACAGGACAACAGTAAAATAAAATCATCCAACGATGCATTATATTCGCAGCCCTGGAGAAATAATTTATTCTGTAAAAGACAGTGATTTATGTTTGCTTGTAACACATGGATGTCGATCTTGAAGTTATGTTTTACAATATTGTGTTATATATAGGGTTTAGTGAGTGTTTTCAGCACAATAAAATTGTTAGGTTTCAGCCATGCCAGCAGTTTAGTAACCATTGAAAGGCTAATGACATCTGCCATGTCAAACTAATATTTCAGCTTCCCACATAGTCATACTGTTCTTTTCTACAGAAAATCTTAAGCTGTCAGGTGACTTCAAGATGTTCGCCTGTGCCCGCCATATCCCAGTGTGCACCAGCAGTGTGTCTGCTACAGGTGCGCTACCCATCCAGCAAACACTTCAACCCAAAGTTTCGGAAACTCCGGAGGAAGAAGATTATGAAGGTGAGGCTAGGAGCAGACTGTCCTACCGATGCGGACATCGAAACACTGTATGGAGCTCCCATTCAACATCTATGACATAGGTTCCAAACACTGCACTGAGCTCCCATTCAACATCTATGACATAGGTTCCAAACATTGCATGGAGCTCCCATTCAACATCTACGACATAGGTTCCAAACACTGCACTGAGCTCCCATTCAACATCTATGACATAGGTTCCAAACATTGCATGGAGCTCCCATTCAACATCTATGACATAGGTTCCAAACACTGCATGGAGCTCCCATTCAACATCTATGACATAGGTTCCAAACACTGTATGGAGCTACCATTCAACATCTATGACATAGGTTCCAAATACTGCATGGAGCTCCCATTCATAATCACTGACATAGGTTACAAACACTGCATGGAGCTCCATTTATCATCCATGACAGGTTACAAACACTGCATGGAGCTCTCATGACAGGTTACAAACACTGTATGGAGCTCCCATTCATCATCCATGACAGGTTACAAACACTGTATGGAGCTCCCATTCATCATCCATGACAGGTTACAAACACTGTATGGAGCTCCCAATCATCATCCATGACAGGTTACAAACACTATGGATCTCCCATTCATCATCCATGGCAGGTTACAAACACTGTATGGAGCTTACATTCGTCATCCATGGCAGGTTACAAACACTGCATGGAGCTCCCATTCATCATCCATGACAGGTTACAAACACTGTATGGAGGTCCCATTCACCATCCATGACCGGTTACAAACACTGCATGGAGCTCCCATTCATCATCCATGACAAAGGTTAAATCTATTTTCAGAGATCGAGTGGTAGTGATCAAAAGTAGAACCTATGCATTGTTTGGTCATCTCAGGGATGTCATCATGCATATTTCTATTATAGCCCTGAGAATATCTTTGGCACATTATCATGTCATGGTCATCCTCAAGGCCTCAGTCAATTGAAAGCTTCACTGTAAGTCAATGAAAAGGTTTGAAAGGTCTGACTATGTGACCAATATTTAAGGTTTAGGTCACAATAAAGGGTCATTTGTATACTATGTTTGGCATTTTCAATAAAATACCACTCCTAGCACATACCGGGTATGTGTTATTATTGTTTTAACATTATTTAAATACATATGTAATACATATGTTTCAGAATGATCTTGCACATATTGCTGTTGTTTCACAATGATCTTACACATATGGCCATTGTTTTAGATTGACCTGCCAGACTACGGGAAAGTGATGAAAGATCAGGACATGTCGGCCGATGAGAAGCACAAGCAAATGAAGAAAGATAAAATCCCCCCTCCCCGAATATTTCAAGAGAGACCCATCAATATCAGCTGCACATGTGAGTTACCTCCCCTTCACTATGGCTGGGACTTCAACTTCAGTGACAAATGTTGTACCGGGTATTCATGGATGTGATTACCTCCCTTGTCTCAGGCGCCTGTCTTACAACTGTTAGACACTTCAACAGTTTTTGTGTAACTGTTACACCAAAAATTACAAAATAAAATATTATGCTTGTATTCTTTATTGAATATTACTCATGATTTACAACAACATATTTAACACATTAAAGTTTATTTGAAAATACCCTTAATCATGTTAATAGCAGTACACAGTCTACTTTGCCAACCATCTCTCTTGCCACCGACTTACCCACAGCAGCTACAAAGTTGTCTGAGGCAGGCGTTGTTGCCAAGGAATTATGTCTGTCCATGGACACAGGAATGAGAAATGCTTGTAAAGTTTCATGACCACATGGACACCGGTTGGTCAGTGTAGGGCATTCAGCAACATGCAGGACATTCGTCACCACTCGCCCCTTTCCGTAACCTGCAAGAAGACTCGTCCCCCTATCAATGAATGTTATGTGCGAAAATACGACAAACCAGTCAGAATGCGCGTAATTTCAAGTTCTTTGTCAAAGAATTCCTCAGAAATAATTTTTGATTTTACAAATGTCTGGCATCTAAAAATAAACCCAAGACAGCTAAATGTGTTCAGTCATGCTGTATAATTCCGCACGTCCAGATGACATCATGTGCTTTAAATTGCATCTGAAATATATATATTATAAATGGGGAAATATATGTGAACCATTACGCAACGAGTTGACAATTGTTTTAGGTATGCCAGTTTGTGCTTAGACGAACCCGGTCGCAAACATGGCCATGAGACGGCCACGTGCCGCTATTGGGCTTGTCCCGGGATAACACGAGTTGGCAATTGTTTAAGTTATGCCCGTTTGTGCTTAGACGGAACCCGGTCACAAAAAATGGCCATGAGAGGGTCACGAGTTGCTATTCGGCTTGTCCCGGAATATCACGAGTTGGTCATGAATGCATACAGCAGTCAAATAAAATGACCAAAGTCGCTCTTCCTCCAGTAAGTGTCATCATGCTTTAACAGTATTAGTTCAGGGCAAAACTATACTTTATGGGGGTAAAGCAATCTTTATTTCTTAAATCAGGCAGTACCGAACTCTGTTTAACATGCAGGGAGACCGCCTGCATGTTGTAGTGGATAAAGTGTCTGTCCGGAAAGCGGATGGTCAGCAGTTTAATCCCCTGGGGGCATTAAACCAAAAGATGGTACTTGTTCTAACACAGCCAGGCACTCAGCATGGAGGGGATAGAACAAGGACTGGTCAGTATTGTGTGTCTCAGTAGGATACCCATGTTAAACTATGGCATGGCATCTCAGTGGGCTAGCTCTATAAAACACACACATGCGCAGGCAAGGAAGTGATATCTTGATGTTGTTTTTGCAGCTGCCATCTTTGAGCCCTTCGTCCCCCCTGAAGGAGATGGCAAATCTTCCCTCCTCTCAACCGAGGTCAGTCAACACAGATCAGTCACTGTAGAATGTTCACAAACTAGCAAATGTAGTATATACAAATACAGTAAACTACGGTTATAACGAACCCAAAGGGACTACTAAGTTTAGTTCGTTATAACCATAGTTCGTTATAAGCATATATACAGCATGACTACAGCAAATAGTCGGGACCCAAAAAGTAAGTTCGTTATATCCGTCAGTTCGTTATAAGTATGTTCGTTATAACCGTAGTTTACTGTATTCCATTCCATAAATTTAGATTGTTCCAAATGTGTGAGGGGTCAAATTTAAAAACTATCGAAAAGAAATTGTTAATATTCTGAGATTTCCAGGGTGAATATCTCCCCGTGTGGTTGTCATGAGTACCTTCCAATGTCCTTGTCATCATGAGGAGGAGATGTTTGTTTCTTGTGTCTCTTGCGTCCCTTGGGCACGCCAGAAACCTATGATTGTGGGTTCGAATCCCGGTTCGCCCTGATTATGTTTCTAGGTTTGTCAGCACCATACCTGTGCTTGTGGGTTTCACCGAAGTGGTAAACGTCTGAGACCTGCATCACTTCGGGCTTTCCTCCCACATAAAGCTGACACGCCATGATATAACTGGAATACTGTTAAAAGCGGCGTTAAACCCAACTCACTCACCCACTCTTGTGTCTCAAGGATTGTTTGTTTCTGTTTGTTAGGGAGTGAAGCAGAAGTATACCGAGTTTGAGAAGAAAGGGAAGTCATTTATGGCCCTCCGGAAAGTGCGCCAGTTCGAGGATGATTTTGATATAAAAGACTTTGCACTGCAGGCTCAGGACATTGTGATGGAGGCTCAGAAGTGTTTAGAGGAGTAAGAAGATTACTTTAGGCTGCGCTGTGGTTGACATTTGATTTTTTTGGGGGGGGTCAGACTTTCACTCCTCTGTTAAAAAGAACTCATTTTCTGAACATCATGTTTTAATTGACTTCATTTATTTTTTACATGTTTTAACTACCCACATTGGAATCATATTATGTTATGTTTGTCATATACACAGATTTTGCTTTCATAATGATGCCCAACTATTGTTTGTTTCAGTATACGAGGCAACAGAAATCGTCTGCACGAGCTTGTCTCAGAGAAAGCTTTTGTGGTGAGTGTTGGTCATAAATACTATTCAAAAGAAGTTAAAGAGCACATGGTTCTTCCATAGTAGTTATCTGTCATAACTAATAAGCAGGATAGGCACTACAATGATGAAGAGGTAGACTATCCCTAAACAAAGATCTGAGGACATCCCATTACCGGTCACACCCGAACGACCTTTCATCTGACCAATCAAAGCCTTGCATACCAGATCGTGAAAGTGACAGTCGGAATGTGTTTTCTAATCATGCAACCTCGAAAACATTAACACAGGGTATACTGAACGACAGTTACAGCCCTTACGACTGATTCCGTCAAAATTATCATCTTTATCTCACTTCTGTGGGATAAACATTTGAACGGAGGAGGCGTTGCACAGTACGTGAGAAGCACTGCCATACAATCTCTATATATTAGACATTCCGGAATGTTCGTTTGTTCGAGAACTGTGTAAACCTATTTTTCAAGCATAGTCTGAAATGGAAGCCGCCAGGTTGAAACGAGTGCCGTAAAGCTCGAGAAAGCTGCTAATTGGCTAATGTTCGCGAAAGGTCATTATGAAATGACCCGTTATGGGGTGCACTCAGATCTTTGTTTAGCGACAGCAAGAACCTAGATCTGATTTTAATAAGATTGTTGTCATCTATTCCTGTGCTCGCTGCAAATACCCCAAGTTCCTCATAGTTTGGGCCCAATTAATCTTGAATTTCTGTTTTCCAGACAGTTATTGCTGGAAACTTTACTGTGTAAGCGATATCATATTACATCGTACCAGTGGTTTGCTAATTTGGATGAGCGCTGTTCTTGTTATTGAAGCAAGTTTAATGCACTGACACTATTCTGTCAATGTGGTTATTTCTGCAGGAGATGGTGTTTGGTTTGGAGAAAAAGACATTTCACTGGAAGTTTGTGGAGTCAATCGAGCCACCTCGTGTTACTCATGTGCGGACTACAGAGGTGCTGGGGAAGGACAACCTGTACGCCCAGGTGACCGTCAGGATCCACACCAAACAGGTCAGTCCACAACATGGTTTGTTAGTTGTGTATCCAACCCATGAAGATCTGGGGTAGAACAGGTCTTCAGCAACCCAGGCTTGTTGTAAAAGGCAACTCTGCTTGTTGTAAGAGGCGACTAATGGGATTGGTGGCCAGACTTGCTGACTTGGTTGATGCATGTCGACGTATCCCAATTGCGTTGATTGATGCTCATGATGTCAATCACTGGGTTGTTTGGTCCAGACTCGATTATTTACAGATCGCCATCATATAACTGGAATATTGCTGAGTGCGGTGTTAAACAACAAAGCAACAAACAAACAAGGGGTTTATTCAGTGCCGTGGTGTGTGTTGTGTACCAGATATCATTGTTCAGATTGTTATTGAGACTTATCTGTTGTAGATCCTTGCTATCTATGACCGGTTTGGTCGTCTGATGTATGGCAGTGAGACTATACCCAAAGACTGTTTGGAGTATGTGGTGTTTGAGAAGCACATCGCTAACGTGTACGGACAATGGCGAGTTCATGGCAAGATTATTCCCGACTGGATGCCCCCTCGGGAGCCGCTGATAAAGACATATCGTGTTGCCACGTTCGAACCTCTGGAGGAGCTGGAGGAAGACTCCAGCTCGACCAGTGTTGAGAAGCAGGGCGAAGACACTTCTGTGCAGACTGCTGCATGAGACTGACAGCCATTGAGCTGCAAGAAGGTTGAGTATGACTAGGAATGCTGTCTGTCATGGTCTACCCTTGTTCTACATTCTGTCACAGAACTAGCAAGACATCGGCCATCAGGGACACTGTCTAATGTAGACAGACATTAATACTGATAAGGCAGTCAACTCATCAACTCATCGAAGAAGATTATTATGTTTTCATTGTCAGGTGTCATACTGGCCATTGGGGAGTATTGTTCACAAGCCTCAATCTAAGAAGTATGCACATCAGTGTACAGTCAGACATTGCGGCAATGGTTGGATTGTGTCACTGACACCATGGTGCTCCTTGATGAGGAGTATTGATGCCCTTAGACTCTCTAGGCCGGAGGCTGATGTTTCTGGATCTACTGCCCATGGTTATGTATTTCCTGAAGACAGACGAGGGTGTATGTTCCTATATCATATATACACAGTGGTTTGCTTCATCTGTGTACTCCTGTGCGTTGAGAGTTTGTGTGAAAGTTTGGAATAAAGCTGACTAGTAATTTGTAAATTTGTGTCTTTGTTTATTTTAGTGTCAGGATTCAGGAGTAGTGTCATGTCATGACAGTCGAACTTGTAATGCATCCTTACTTTCATATCTATCATCTCTGTCTGGGGTGAGTAAGAGAATGTTTATTAACCCGACAGTCAGAAACATTGCAGCAATACATCTGCTGCGGTGCCCGACAAATCAGTGGCAGAAAACATCGGTAACAACCAAGTTTATTGGGAAACGATGACCCGCATTCTGCCAAATCACAGAGCCCCAAAACCCCACCGTCTCTAAGTATGGATAACTGCATGCCTACGTTGTCCCCAGAATCCTCACAGGGAATCTGTATAAGGGATAGCTCTGCGTGGGAACGCTATTGTTACCTTCAGTAAAGCCCAACCTACGAAAGAAGACAAATACTGATTTTATGGACACTTAATCTCTGGCAATAGAAAGGTCATATTCCAGTACGTGGGAGGCAATACATTTAAAGTAAAGACATTAATCTTTCGAAAACACTTTTTATCATTTATTTGTAAATATAAGTCATTTAGAAGAACAAAAAGAGTGGTAGTCGAATAATAACTCTTGACTCCTAAATATACAAAAGGAAAAACAACGCTGGTTGGCCTTTCACAATGAGGTGAACAAGGGAACCCTTTATATGCTCAATGCCAAAAGAAACACAACCATAGAAACATGGTGAGGTGAGGTGAAATGGGGTTTAACGTCGCGTCCAAGATTATTGCACTTATATAGCGACGTGCATGCACGTGTATGTGTGTGTGTGTGGCTGCTTGTACTAGTCTGGACTGATGCCGATTTATAGTGCTAGCACACTGAGATACCATGCCGCAGTTTAACATGAATACCCCACTCAGACACAGTATACTGACTCCCAGCCGACCAGTCCTTGTTTTAGTCCCATATTCCTGAGTGCCAGACAGGGTGACATCTTGGTATGATGCGGCTGGGGATCGAACCCCAGACTTTCCGCTCTCCGGGCGGACGCTCTACCATTAGACCACGGAGGCGGTCCATAGAAACATGAATAGTATGTACCAGAATGTGTACCACTTCAGGACAAAACTAACAATCCGTCAAGTGTTGCCACAGAGTGTCACGATATGCTAAACGTGATTTCCAAACTTTACAGCTAATCCTGCACGAGACAAATGGTACATCTCGAATCAAGCATCTATGACGTCACATGTGACGCGTTCTTGAGCGTCGGTTCACACAAAATAGCAGAATGTTCGTTTGAGCATCAAACCAATCTAATATCCCTGGAATATGAGTAATTCTTCATATATTAACCAACATATATGGTAATCGCGTTTCTTTTGTCTGTGAGTATATATGGAATCGTAACATTTGCTTCTGTAAAATGTTGCGGAGTGCCTAAAAAATCTGCTGGTCTTTTGGACGGAAATAACAAACATTAATAGAGGCTATTACTCTTAATACATGTCTATTTGAACAACCTATTCGTTTAGTTTTGTGAAATAAATGCGATTCCAAATCAGGCAGGATGCAGACCCTTTCTCTGGTAAGTTTAGGAAACGTCAACACAATGAGAGAGTCGGTAAATACCGCAACCAAGTGCGTTATGCAGTATCTATTAACTCGTATCTAATTTGAACAGGACATGTCACGTTTGCTGTAGGAATTAGCACGTTTGGATGTTGCTTATGGTTTCATATACAAACAGCAGGAAATCCCCAATTTGTTTAAGCATACATACACATTTTTAGATATTTGGTTAAATATCTTTTTGCTACCAGTACCAGTCGTGTTGTGCTCAGGGTTCATTCCCAGCAGGTAGGCGTGGAGGTCACGTCATGTTTGAAGGGTGTGTCAACGACAGATGTTCCCACTTTTATTGACAACAATCAGTCCCAAGTGCTGTTAGGGCCGTCTCAACAAATGTAATTAAGAAATGCATGTTAACAGATGCCGTATTCTGGAGTTTCACGGCATCAAGACCATTTTGTCTTTCTGAAAGAGGAGCAAAATAAAATATTTTCTTCACCAGTTATTGTTTTTCAGGACATCATCAGTTTTATGTTTTTATGTCCCTGAGGCGAAATTAATTAGTCCACACACTCAATCTCATTAAAATCAGATCTTAGTCCTCGCTACCGCTAAACAAAGATCTGAGGACATCACATTACGGGTCACGCCAGGCCGACTTTGACCGACCAATGGAATGACAAATCAGAAGGCAGCTTTCTCGTGCTTTACGGCACTAATTTCAAATTGGCGACTACTCTTCGAAACATATTTTGACAAATTCTCGATTAAAAACCTGAACAAAAAAAATTCTGGAATGGGTAATAGATGGTCTAGATTGTATGGTTTCAGTCGTTAAACCCATAGCTATCGTTCGGAATACCCGTGTTAAAGTTTTCGAGGATGCATGATTAGAAAGCACGTTCCGACTGTCACTTTCATGATCTGGTAAGCTACGCTTTGATTGGTCGGATGAAACGTCGTTCTGACGTAACCCCTACTGGGATGTCCTCAGATCTTTGTTTAGCGGTAGTGAGAACTAAGGTCTGATTTTAATGAGATTGTCCACACACTCGCCATGTCAATACCGAATGAAATAAATACGAGCGAGTGAATGGCGTTTTATGCCGCACTCAAATTACAGATTATCAAATCCGAAGCAGGCAGACCTGTTCATGGCATGAGTTTCGCTCCACGGTCGTATACTTGATCGTCGTTCAGGGTTTCCATGTCAGAATCATCTTTACGAGGGAAGAGAGTTAACTGGCTTTAAAAGTCGAGTTTACACCCTTGCCTATCTGGGCTGGAATTCCCTGGACTCGATCGTAGAGCACCTGTGGTTATTACGAGTTATGTCCCTTCCGTGCCTCTCCTATGGACCAATCAGATTCTACCTCTCGTATCACATGCATTTGCTTCAAAGACAATGGTGGCGCCCTGTCAATACAATCTGATCGATAATCAACAACTCTATTGTGATAAAACAAGCCTTACATCACGAAGTGCATCAAATCACGTGAGCACCTTGATTAAGAACATGAAAAGATTTAGAAAATATCTGTTGACAACGAGTTGGCTGTGCACATGTTTTGCAAATCCTGCAATCGACCGAAATCCGCATTACAGTTTACGATCCGGATTTCGATTTCGTTGCGCGATTTAGATTGGACAATACATAGACTCGTTAGTCCATATACCAGCCTAGTTCGGCAAGGGTGGAAACTGGACTTTTATAGTCAGTTAAGTCCCTTGCCTCGGGAAGATGTGTCAGACTTGGTCCCCAGAAACCCATGCTGGTCGTAAGATGCGACAACCGCTATTCCTCATTAAAATCCTTTCCGCCTAATAGAGGAAATACGGTGTATGAATCGGTAGACAGGCTCGGTGACTTGGTTGATAGAATTGTTTTATCTTTACGAACAGCATTTTGCAACAAATCCGTTGAAGTATCAGATTACGGAGTATTTTGGCTGTCTAGAAAAATATTAAATACTTGAGTTTAGGAGCATTTGAACTAAATTGTTAGCATCACCAATTCTGTATGTTGTCGTAGGAGGAGATGTAATGATTTAATGTTCATTTAATTAATATGTCTCATCTGACCCATTACGGTACCAAAGGACCTCCCAAACGTTAGTTCTGTACATTCTGTAAACCCTAAATAGATTAACCCTTCAACCCACCCCAACACGCACACACGCTCGCACGCATGCGCGCACACACAACATGATTTTGTTATTTTGGACCCCCGTTTTTAAAATGCTGGGTCCGTTCTTGCATATCATGCAAATCACTGTGTTGTGTCCTTGGTGTTGTAAAATTGGTATTGAATTATATAAAAATGTTTTATTACACTGCTTTTATATCGTTCTGTTTCACCTACATCTGTACTGCTTTTGTGAACAGGATGATAATTTTCACATTCATTCAGTGTGTTGAATTTGAAATTTGACGTGAAAAAGCCTCGGCCTCTAAAAATGAAGAAAAAACAAACATGACTCCTCACACACACCCCTCCCTCAATCCGCCCCACCCCACCCCTTCTAAATAACAAATGGACCGATGCTCATGTCCTTTCTATGTCCCTGCTATTGACCAATCAGATTCCAACCCTCACACTTCTTGTATTTGCTAAAAACGAAATGGCGGCGACTAGTCAAGACGATCTAATCAGTTTAATTGATGAACAAGTGTCACGTTCCCTGTCTCAGACACCCAGAGCATGTGTTTTCTAGAACAACACCTGAGCACATTGATTCAAAACAAGTAACGATTTTGAAAATATCTGTCGACACCAAGTAAACATGCTTCGCAAATCCCGCAGTCGACCGAAATCTGCACGGCAGTCGCATGTTATTACGAACAAGATGTCGATTTCGTTTCGCGATTTTGATTGGACTATGTATAGAACTCCGAAATTTCAGCCTAGTTTGGCAAGTGTGAGAACTGGACTTTTACCGCGTCGACCCGGAGAGCGGCAGGTCTGTAGTTCGATCCTCGGCCGAATTATACCCAAAGAAGTTAAAACATGTTTCTTGTTACCCTGTCTGGCACTCGGAATTTAGGGGATAAAACATGGACTTGTCGGCTCGGTGTCAGATACTGTGTCTGAGTTAGGTATCCATGTTAAACTGCGGCGCGATATCTCAGTGGATTAGCATTATAAAGCCGGTATTAGTCCGGACTGGAACAAGCAGCCACACACACTCACACGCGAGAATGCGCGTCGCAAGTGCAATAATCTTCGACGTTCAAACCCCATTTCGCCTCACCTCACCAACTATGACAGCGGTTTGACAAGGACACCGCGACAAACAATTTCAGAGATTATAACAGTACTGTGAGTAGTGAGTGAGTGAGAGTTGTTTTATGCCGCTTTGAGCAACATTCCAGCAATATCACGGCGGGGGACATCAGTAATGGGCTTCGCACATTGTACCCGTGTTGGGAAACGAACCCGGGTCTTCGTCGTGGCGAGCGAACACTTTAACCACTAGGCTACCCCA